CCAAGATTTCTGAATGGAAACACTTCCTTCCCACTCAACACGAACTTCGTATTGTGCTATTGAGTGTACATCCAAAAGCCATGCTTCGACACATCCCTCATTCCCCTGACCTTGCCTCTCGTAAATCTGACGTGAGGGGAAAGACAGCTAGAGTGTGCTCGGTTGCATCCTCTATGCACTGCTAACATTTATAGGCAGTTGGGCATTGCGCCTGGCGCACTAGCATGTAATCTTGCTTCTTATTGTAGCGCGAGCCAACTGTATCCTGCAGTAACTAGGCCGTACGAACAGCTTCCTCAAGTAGCACTTTAATCATCCCAGATTAAGAGTTACTACAGTGGGAAGTTACAAAACGTAGCTTAGCCAACTACTGAAACGTCATGCACTGTTGTATTGTGTGAGTAGCTACGCAATGCACTAGATATGTCGACCCAGCAGCCACAGTGTACAGTCATTGCATTTGAAATCTAAAGCAGACAATTTTTCGGTTCGAGCTGCATGAGCATACTCTTCCTGTCTCAACACATACGGCCCCCCACCGTTCACACGGACACAACGGGACTAAGGCGTCAAGCTTACAAGATAAGGAATGAATGTAAATAGCAGCAGTGGTAGAAAAATAGCAATTAAGCTTTCTTGAAAGCTTGTCCATCTACGGATCATGAGACGCAGGCGGCAAAGCTCCAGACTACCATCCCAGGCAGCGCCTTCGAAAGCTTTCCGCAGTGAACAAAAGGCGCTAGTCAATCCCGAATCCTAAACGGATCTATGAATTGGCAAGAATAAGCATAACCAGGATAGGTGATAACAAGGCCCTGTTTCGCAAAATTGAAGTGAGCGTGTCCCGGTCCCTGGGCATTCCCCATATGGTGGGACAGCTAGCAGGAGGCCTGCAGAAATACACCAATTAGAAGGCTAATCAGTGTAGTTTGTATTTTCAATAAGTCATATCCATAAAAACTTGTATAAGCAGATAGTAGTGCCATTGGGGGGAGCGGCAGCATTCAGTCAGCCCCGTGAAGGATGTCCCCCAACTCAGTCTTCACCACTCAGTGACTGGCTGTTTTAAGGCGCATTTCTTCCTTCAGTGCGGCTTGTTTGTTGAAAGAGTCGACAGAATGCGATCTCGTAATCCTTTCTGGCGACTGGCACGCTTTTGATCTGCTCCTGCTCGAGGCACTCGGCAAAATCGGGCTGCTGTGTCTCAAGTGCTCTGTCTGCCGTACGATACATGGTTCCGTACATTTTTCATCCTTAGACCTCGGAAGTTTAGTCTATTTGACGCACTAGAGACCTTGTAGGTGAACATCTTGGGCACTGTGATAGTACATTTGTTTCCATATGGCGACGCCCTCGCCCCTCGCTATCACGATACCGCACGTTGCGCTAGCCTGTTAGTGCAAGGGCGCTAATGCCATAATTCGAGCACTTTTGCATCCTCCTGAACCTGCCGATCTGTGCTGGACCCATCAATCCTGTCTAACGTTTGTTCATCAAAAGTAAGCAGAACGACGCGGAGGCCCGAGTCGCGCGATCACAAACCGCTCGTTACATAGCCAAAAGTACCAAAGGATGAAACCAAGCGGAAATCAGCTTATTGGAGATAGTGAAGAGTAAGAAGAGTGCCATATGTGGCCTTATGGGACTCACATCGGTTTCATGCATAGCACGTCCTCCAGTTCTGGAGTATTGGGGAAGTTGCATGTTAGATTCCGCATTGAGCGTGTCTGTATGCTATTGAGCTGTATGCAGCGAAGACCCGAAACTTAGGGTGTGTGGGAGTTCTTCCTTGTGCTGTTGCAGGAATGGTGCTTCGGTACAGCAGACCACCGCTGCATTGCCTGCTGATGACTCTCTGCATCATCCTTTGGAAGAGGTCACAGCTGCTGATGCACCCTTTAGGGATCATTACCCCACGAAAGCCGTCCCTACTGGAGGATCGTGCGGCTTGCTCTGCCGTCAGTTTTATACGGAGGCTCTCAGGATCCTTCACCTGAATGTGGATTGTGGGCTCTATAATAATGACTGGCGCCTAGTTTTTGCAGGAAGCTCCGTCCCATTTGTAGGACCCTGTATGATGATGGCTCTGCGAGTCAGCTTGTTCATCGCGCATCTCAGCGCTCTCGTTGTTGCAAAGTTCTACAGGAGTATGGTCTTCTTTACACACTGGACAAATGTCCTTGTGCTTGGGCTTTTTTGTACTTCCTCACTCGTGAGTATTGCTGCTATATTCTCTCTTAGTCATGAGCGCCGAGTAGCGGAAGAGGCGTCTGGGGCCGCATCTTCGGGTGGTTCTATATGCAAGCGACTGCTGTGTTTCTTTCGTCGAGCCGAGGGGCAGTACGACCAGCTCATGAGCCACGTAGTCAAGCCAGGGATATCCACTCCATCAACAGCGCAAGCAGCACTGCCTCGTCGACGTTGCTGTACTTTCCAGCGGCCCTTCAGCGGACAGCCACGGCTCCCCGTGTTGGAAGGCCTACTCACTCTGCATGAGCTAATTGTAGCATCCACCTTGCCCATGGTGACAATCATCTTTGTTGTCTATTGGACACTGCTCTTTCCCCAAGATCACCCAAAAGTGCTCTGGATTTCGGTGTACATGCACCTTGCCAGTCCCGTAGGCGCTTGGCTGCTTGCGGGGTTGTCTCGATTCCCGTATCGTCTGTCCATGCTACCGCTCATTCTCCTAGCTGGGCTCTGCTACATCGTCATGATTGCTGTAATGCAACGTTTCGGATCAGGCTTTGTGTATTGGTTCATGAATTTTCAAAAGCGACCGACTCTTGCCAGTGTAATGGCCCTTATTATCCTGCTGATAATGACTCCACTAGCCGCGTGCATCTCGTGGTTCGTGCTGCATCGCAACAATGCGGCCTTTCTACCTCCAAACTAGCGGACAGTTGTATCCTTAAGAGAGCCACTTGGGGGACCCCGCCATGTGTAGATACAGCCCAATTGTGCGGAGCCATTCCCCCCACCAACCACCAACCCTCCACTTCCCCACCAGTGCCTGCCTTCACTCAACGAGGCCTACACTGAAGTGCATTCTTGCGCCTGACTACGGCCTTTGAGCCGCTTGCTTGCCGTGTGCGTCGTTGCGTGCCAGTGCTTTGCTGGGAGCGCCCTCCGGCGCCCTGCCGTTGTCTGCGGGACCCCTCTTGCTCGGTCTGACCTGCATTACGGACATTGGCTGCAAAATCTTGCATACCTATGATCAGAGCCGGTGATACCTTAGCTCTTTGTATTGTCTTCGATATTGATGCACAGTTTTATGCTGCAGCGAGGCTTCAAGTGGAAGAAAACTCTAAGGAAGAGTGTTTCATTACTCTCCGTACACTTCTACCCAATGCATATGGGCTTTTGCGTTTTTCATTGCAGTATTTGGTGCGCCCTCCCTCAGGAGGTGCTAGTTTTCGCAACTAAACGCCTTTTTGGCCCACGCATACGGCGCCCTTGCCAGTACGGGCATGATTGCAGACGTAGAGGGGCACTTTGCGGAGCACACTGATGGTGTGCCCGACGGACAGGTAGTCTATGCTGAGAGTGGAGCACAAAGGCGCGAAACTCATCAGAGAGAACCACTGAAGTTGCCTTGTATACCCGCCGTCTTCGCACTTGCCTTACAGCGAGGGGATTTAGGCGCATAGGTAGTGGTGTACATTTGCTGGTCCCGGGGGACTCGAGACGTTCTTAGCTGCCTTCATGGGACCCTAAGGATCACGCGAGGTAGTAATGGTATAACACAAGAACTGCAAATGAAAAACAGCTCGTGGAGTACTGAATTGTGGGCGCCACCTGAGCGTAGCTTTAGGAAGGAGGTCCAGGGTTTCGACGTGCAAAAGCGCTGGACGAACATTGAGAAGCGAGAATCAATGGAAGAGGAAGGGAACTAGAGGGGGGTTCGACGCGCTGCTGCCACTTGTAGGGTTGAGCACATGCAGAAAATAGGCTTTAAAAACGAAGCGGTATGAGCACAACGAGCCACCGTAAATTCAATGTTTGGAGGACTGTAGATTCTTTTTGGGGGGACTTCGAGGCACTGTTACAATAGTGCCGCCAACCCCGAGGTTCCATTCGACTATTGTTAGGGAGGTCTAGCGCTTTCTCAAATGGCTCCGTAGGGAGAGACATAACTAGCAAGTCGATAAAGCCCCTTTAGTAAGCTGTCGCGTGTGTTTGAAAAGGGTACCCTTTTGGCGGCCTTGCCCCCCTCGGAAGAGTGGACGAGAACAGCTAGATTGAGCGGCTCTGCATCGTCAAAGCGCTCCAAAATTTCGCAGGTAATTGCATAAAGCATCTGACGCCCACGCCCTCATCGCTGCGCCTTCTCTCGGCGAGGCAAAGCCACTCTGCAACAGCTAAGATGCACGAGCGACAAATCACCTAGTAACACTTTTACCAACTATTTAATGGATATACCTGGGGTAGTAGAGAGTGCTTAAGTGCAGCTTAGCTCGCTACACCATCTGTATGCCTAGCAGCTGTGTGTTCTCACTACAAAGGGTGGGTACTCTGGTGAGGCCAGATAGAGAGCGGCTGACAGACATTGCGCTGCAGCTGCAGAGATGCCGAGGGCAGACGAGTTCGCTCTTGGAACGCGTGCGCTAGTGCAGATGTGCCCTTAGCCACTGCAAAGTAGTTTGAGTAGACATTCACGAGGCCACTCTAGATAGACTACTTCAAGTTTGGGGGCGAGCGCACCACATGAAGCTTCTGCGTGCTTAAACTGCGGCAGCCCCAGATGGCCAACCATACCAGTGAAGGGCGAAGAAATTCCCTAGCTAGTTGTTACCCATTGAGAGGTCCCCGTGCGATGGCGTCCTAGAGGCTCAACTGGCGGATAAGGAACCCCCGAGGCATCCCCACCCACGCAACACTAAGGCGAAAGCGGGCAACTCAAAGCTACATCCGTCTCCTAGGAAGCTCACAGCGAGTCCTATTGGCGCGGCTTTCGAGAAGACCCCCTGGAAAGGCCTTCCGCATGACTGCAGCTGGAGTTACGCATCGATGAGCGTCTGCCGAAGGTGGGCAGCGAGCTTCTCCTCTTCGTCTTTGGGGACTAGACAGGTTTGCCAATTGACTTTGTCATGAGCTTCCAAAAGTTCCGCCAGTACTTCGCGCCCGAAGTTCATCGGAATCTTCTGGCTATCTCTCCCCGGCTGTACGTACAGGTAACGCTCAATCGTTTGGCCGCGGGCGGTACAGAGCCCAGGCAGCTCTACATAGAAATAGCCCAAGTGAGGATCTCTCGCCAGCTCGGCGAGGGCAGTCAAATCCGCATCGGTCGGCATCTTTTTCAGTACAAGGCCCGCACGGCGCGCGCGTTTCTGAACTCGCAAAAAGACGACATATGTACATATATATAAATATATGTATGATATATGTATATATGTGGACATGCATAGATCTACAGCACAAATGTGAAACAGCACACGCTTTTGACTGGTGTCTTGAGCCTAGATCCTTTTCCGCTCATGTGTCGGGCACGCATTCCCAAGTTGTCGTATGCTGCATAGAATACATGAAGGAGCGAGACGCGCTTAGGGCCTGCCATTGGAAGGATCCCGAGAAAAGGGGGTCTTAGCCGAGGACGCCCTTTGATTTCGCCCTGTTATCTGTGTAGAAGATCTGTCGGGAAAATCTTTCTTTCAAGGTCTGCATGTCTAGTAGTCCGTCCGTCCTTTTTTCGACCCCCCCAAATAGATAGTGCAAGACACGACACCCCGCTCTTCTGTGAATCGGCCTCATCTATATGTGCAACACCTCCCACATGTGGTGGACGAAACGTACCTCAAACAACGCTTCAGCCCGCATAGACTGAGATCGGTGGCAGGGCACCGCGTGGACTTGCGAGTGCATGGCTCTCGTGGCCTTCATCGGTACATAGCGCTCATATACAACCAAATCTAGGTTCTGCAACATACACGCTCAGGAGGCGATTTGGCTTTGCAATTTCGAGCAGATGACAGTGTTTGAATAGACACTGAGCAGCGCTTCTCTGTGTTTGTGGGCCTCATGAAGGCAACGGCGTCAGGGCCTTCATGCAGATGCGCCACTGTTAGTTCGCATCCTACTGATAGGCAGAGAGAAAGAGACAGGGAAAGAGGCATAGAGAAAGAGACAGGGAAAGAGGCATAGAGAAAGAGACAGGGAAAGAGGCAGAGAGAAAGAGACAGGGAAAGAGGCAGAGAGAAAGAGACAGGGAAAGAGGCAGAGCGAGGCGATAGCCGGATTCGAATCGCCGTACGGCGACCCTCTCTAGACTGCGCGTCAGGCAGGGCAGAGACAGCCCAGTGTGCTCACCTGTTGATGGAAGGCCTTCCGAGTGGCAGCAACGATGGCTGCAGCCTCGCGACGTGTATCGGCATCCGCGTAGGCGAGGGAAGGCAAATGGGCAATGGGAATGAGCAGGAGGTGGTAAGGCGTTAGCCCCCCCTTGGGTACTGCCATGTACAGACGGTCCTTGATATCCACAATCATGTGCTTCTCCACCTGAGGGCTCGCTAAACAGAACCAGCAATCTGCATGCGGTTCGGTGGCAATTACATCCCCACAGTGAACCCGCTTGGCTCCAGTAGGCCGATCAAAGGGTATTCGATCGTAGTAGAGCCGCATCCGTAGAGTTCGGCGACCTCCCTCAAGCTGCCCCGAAGCGGCCGCAGCCTTCGCCGCATCCTGAGGGCTTGTAAATACCACAAACCTGAAGGAAACAGCAGCCACAGCGGCATGTCCACGCATAAATACACCCACATAAACACCCACATAAACGCACACATACATACAAATATCCACATGGACACACACATACATACAAATACCCAAATAAACACACACATAAACGCACACATACATACAAATATCCACATGGACACACACATACATACAAATACCCAAATAAACACACACATAAACGCACACATACATACAAATATCCACATGGACACACACATTAACACATAAACACACAGATACATACAAATACCCACATGAACACACACATACATACAAACACCCAAATAAACACACACATAAACGCACACATACATACAAATATCCACATGGACACACACATTAACACATAAACACACAGATACATACAAATACCCACATGAACACACACATACATACAAACACTCACATAAACACACACATACATACAAACACCCACATAAACGCACACATACATACAAATACCCACATAAACACACACATAAACACCTCCCCCCTCCCCACACACTCTGCATGCATGTTTAGGCCAGTACCCAACAGCCACAAGCCTGCGGTGACAGCAGAAAGCATTCTCTCTCTCTCTCTCACGCCGAACCGCCCTTAGGTCAGTCCGCAGAGGGCCAGCTTCCCCAGATCCCGCGGAGAGCCAGTGCTTGGTGCAGTCAGCAGCAGCAACAGCAAGCAGCAAGCAGCAAGCAGCGGAGACTGCAGCAGAACCCCCTCGAGCGCCGCTCACGCCTTGCCAGTGCCTCGGGAGGGGCACGCCTTATCCTTGGGGACGAACACAAACTTCACCTCCCCAAACTGCTGCATTGCCTCCTGGAGGCTGCCCCCGTCTTCAATCTCGTACGGCAAGTTCTCCACCAGTACCACCCCCGTGTCTCTAGGCCGCTTTGAGGCTCTGCTGTGAGGCACCTGCAGACTGCAGCCAGCAGAAGGCGCAGGCACACAGTGATCCTCCGAGAGTTCCTCCAAGGAGGGAAGCAGCCGCAACTGCTGCTGCCGGCTTGCGCACGCGAACGGATTAGGGCTGTTGCATTCAGGTGGGATGCAATAGAGAGCAGCCTGCGCTTCCTCCGAAGTCAGTGCTGCAGTGGAAGCGTCCTCCTCCAAATGCCGCTCGCCTTGCTGCCTCAGCGCAGCCAGCATGCACGACATCGGCCTCAACTGCAGCGCGTGAAAAGCCTTCACCTGCGGACCCTTCTCGCCGACAACGCCCAAAGAAATGAGACGTAAAGAATAGCCTACGGCATGCAGCAGCACGAAAAGCAAAAACAGGCAGGGATTTACTTTCCTCTTACGGCGCGCCAGCGCAGACCGCGACAGATGCAGCAGTAAGCAGTACGCGCTTTTCAGCAGTAGGCGATAAGCAGTAAGCTCATTTCAGCAGCAGTAGTAAGCAGTAAGCAGTAAGCTCATTTCAGCAGCAGTAGTAAGCAGTAAGCCGTAGACTCATTTCAGCAGCAGTAGTAAGCAGTAAGCAGTAAGCTCATTTCAGCAGCAGTAGTAAGCAGTAAGCCGTAGACTCATTTCAGCAGCAGTAGTAAGCAGTAAGCAGTAAACTCATTTCAGCAGCAGTAGCAAGCAGCAAGCAGTGAGCTCATTTCAGCAGCAGCAGTAAGCAGGAAGCAGTAAGCTCGCTGCAGCAGCAGTAGTGAGCAGGAAGCAGTGAGCTCATTTCAGCAGCAGTAGTGAGCAGTAAGCAGTAAGCTCATTTCAGCAGCAGTAAGGAGTAAGCTCGCTGCAGCAGCCGCCCTCCCCCACCGAAGTGTCGCCCCTTGAAATGCGGTCGTTGCCAGAAGAGGCTTAAGCCGCTGCAGATGATGTGGCGAGCCTCGAGGAAGTCTGCGAGGTAGCTGCTTGCTCCGCAGCTGCAGCAACGCATCGCAGCACACACCTCTGGCGCCGCCATCAGCTCCAGATAAAGAAACCAACCCCCAAAAGAAGTGAGCGTGGACAGAACGCGCAGCAAGGAGCGAAGGTTCGGCAGGTGAGGGAAGCCTTAGTCCTCAGCGACACCGTGACGTGCAGCAGCAGCAGCAAGAGAGACTCCCTGACGGTGTGTATATGTGGGGCAGGGGGAGACAGAAAAAAGGGATGTGTACAGGGCTGCTCCCCACAACTGCACTTTGGCTTCTGTTGTTGCCTGAGACACCATCTTAGATTCGCGTGAAGCAGCCGTATCGCCGCCTTCCTCATGGCTGCCACTGCCTTGGCCCTTCTGCTGCTGCTTCTGCTGCTGCTGTGGTAGGGGAGGAGCGATTCCAGGAGGCAGTCCCTCAAAGATGCCTACAGGGGGGCGTGTGGTAAGGAAGATGTCTGTGTGGCCTCTAAAAGCCTTGAAGGCACTCCAGCATGCAGGAACGCTCTCTGCAGATGCTGCCTCGTTGAGCTGCGCAGGAGCCTCCGCTATCGGCAGTTCTTGCTTTGTCTCTGGGTGCTGCTGTTGTTGTTGCGGCTGTTGTTGCTGTTGTTGCGGCTGTTGTTGTGGCTGTTGTTGTGGCTGTTGTTGCGGCTGTTGTTGCGGCTGTTGTTGCGGCTGTTCTTGCTGTTGTTGTTGCTGCTGTTGCGGCTGTTGTTGCGGCTGTTGTTGCTGCTGCTGGCAAGGGGTCGCTTCCAGCGCGCAATTGGGAATCTCTCTGAAACCAGGAGCCGCATAAAAAGCGACGTGCAGGCCGTGAAGCTCTGTCACGCCGGATCCTGCCAGGAGCCAGACTTTTTCCATCAGCGGGAGCGGGGTGTACAGACACTCGGAGGGCAGTGAGTCGGCTGTCGCCTCCCCAGCAGACTCCTCTGCAGCTCCCTTCTCAGGCTTGGCAGGCCTCCTGTCGCGCTCAGAGGCGTCTCCTATCTCTCGAGCAGACTCTCCAGAGAGTTCTCCTGAGGGGCAGATGGGGAGGGGGAAGCTGATTTTGGCCTTAACCTCGGAGAGCCTTTCGGAAGCGCTGCTCGCGAAAGGAGCTGCATCTGCCTCGGAGATGGTCCTGCCTCGCTTTTCGCGAGCCTCTTGCACCCACAAGCTTGCCGCCTCATCGACAATGTACAGAGGGAGGGCCAGACTGCTGCAATGCGTCTGAAGGGCTTCAAAAGCTTCGGGAAACTGCCGGGCAAAGGCCTCCCGCACGGCTTCTGTCAAGGCGGAGTCGGTTAGTCCCCTTTCGCTGGGAGAAGGAGGGAGAGGGCGTTCGCCGTTCAGAGGAGCGTTGCCGCATTCGGGAGGAAGGCTAAGGCCGTGTGAATCCGCAAAGAAGGGTCCCACACAGAGCGCAAAGTCGAAGGGCCCCTTCTTCTGGAGGGCCCCTAGCAACCGATGCAGCTCGCCAATTTTGCCGCGGACTTCGCCGCAGAGCAGCACGCGAATCATCCCGCCGACAAAAGACACAAAAATACGCACCAATCGGACCGCAGAAAGCTCTGCTCGAACACCTGTAGCGGCGCCGCAACCGAGTGTCAAGAGCCTACACGCGGCCGCGCTCCTTTACCCCCATTTGAATGAAGCCGCAAAATCAGCAGTAACAATCCGTGCAACACCTCGAAAATCCCCTTTTAAATTATTTCCACATGCATGCATGCATGAATGGCCATCCTGGGCTGCCGCGCCTGACATGCGGCAGGCCCCAAGCTTCCTACTTGAATTCCTTGCGCACATGGGGTACTTGAAACGTTTCCTGAAGTAAAATGCGACGCGGATTCTGCGGTCATCTATGTCTCAGCTGTTTTTGCGTGGGGCAGTTGCTGCTGCTGGCCACCCTGTGACATCTTCTATGTGGCTGCCTCCTGTCGCTCAGCGGGAAACATTCCCACGCAGCTAGCGTTGCACTCGGTGTATGTGGCTGTAACGGGCCGTATGTGCATACGCTTGCCTTGAAGCTACCGGCAACGCTTCAGCACACGTTTTACCGGTACCGTTTCCTTACCCTGCGAAGCCAGGTGACACTCGATTTCAGATTCCTCCCTTTCTCTTGCTACCTCGCCGCCCTTTTCCCTTCCATTGTGTCGTCCGCTATGATTTCATACGCGTTCACTTGAGCCATCTCAATGTGCACTTAAAAATGCAGCGCCTTTCCCTCACGGTAGCTCCACGTATCCTCTATGTCGAGGGCACATCTTCGCTAACGAAAGAATGCGCATACAGAGCCCTTGCTGCTGCGGCGAGGGTGCTGATTACAATGCAATACGAGTAGCGCCTTCGTATCTTCTTCAGAACATGCAAAAAGGAGAAGAAGCCTTTCACCTCAACTCGTGATGCAGTGCTACCTCCGCGCTCCTCACTATGAGCCATCTCTGGCAAACACTCTGCACTTATGCGTTACTTGAGGCTCAGTGTACACAGAAGGGCACAGTGCTCATAAGTGGCTATGCTCAAGTGCAGGGGTTCCTCGTTCTTAAATAATTACAATTGGCGAACCAGTCGCTTGGGGAGGTCAGTGGGGAAGTGGGAACAATGACACAGAGAGGCTATGCATCTGAACGTGGCGGAAAAAATGAAGAAGGCAGTCGGTCAAGGCTAATGGCACGCCCGAGCACCAGTTACTGAAGCACTTTGGGAACGCAGAGCTACTGCGGATTGTTGTGACTGTCGGGATGGATGGAGATGCAACAACGCGTGCATCAGTTGGATGCCCATTCCACTAAATTCACTTTCTTGTAACTCCTGTCCCAGTGCCGACCTGATTATCTCATTAAGCGAAATTGCATACAACTGTTAAACCCGAAAGGGCGGCAGCTGTAGAATTGTCTGCGCCTCAAAAGCCGCTCAAGGCTAGTCTAGCGCCTCCCATCCGGCACAGTGTGCTCTGTGTTGACTCGAAACATGCACTCATGACACGAGAAAGTCATGCAGTTTGGACAGAGTACCGCACAAAGAGCCCGAAGACACAGGATACAACTTGCAACAGCAACAAGATACGCAGTAGCCGTTGCTCAGACATCGGACCGCATACCTGAGGGAAAAAAGCCGCCAACAGCGCATCAAACCGTGAACGCAGCAACACAGAAAGGCCAAAGCGGACAAGCTACAGTATAAGCCGACTGTCTAAGCACTGTGCAGACCTCAGAACTGGAGAAACAGCTGCTGCAGTGGAAGTAGAGAGCAACGAACCCGGAGAATGACATTGATGAGAGTGTAATTCGGAGAGGCTGCGAGCAGGTTGCTGTCCTCAAGATACCTGAACCACCCACAGACCAGAGGCCTCAAATCCTTACACGGAATGGGGAGTCTATGACACGAGTAGAGTTTATGCTTTTGCGCCGCCCTATTGTATGCCGTTCGGCTTGCGTCGTAGGGAACGCGCAGGAGGGGCAGCAGCAGAATTACCGCGGAGTGCGATGTCGAGGGCACCGTACGAGGCCTAGAAGCTGAAAGCATTGCCCACAGAAAGGCATTGCCCATCAATCGGTGAAAACAGGTGACCATGCACAGTGCATACAAGCCTCCCTCTTAGGGGGAGGTATTTGTATGGACTGGGGTTCAGATCCGCAAGCATCCGTGGCGTGCATTTAGAGCAGGCACGAGCGCCGCGTTTTATCCCATTCACGAATTCAGAATGTTACTACTGGGGACGCATCGAACGATCCAGCTAGTGCACAGGGTTACACAGGATCAACGGGCACAGTTCATTTGATGACTAGGCATGGGGCTTTATACTGAGGGCTGATCACACGCTGAAAAGTGCGTTTTACAAGTGTCTCTATGCACATACGGAGAGCTAGATTACAGCGTCCTTCAAGCTGAGCAGAGCGCGAAGCGACCACCCATAAGCGAGAGAGTCAAATACAGACAGACAAAGAGGGAAGACACAGATGCAGCCAGATCCCCAGGGGTTGCACACAGCAGCGGAAGAAAGGCGGCCTTTGAATGTGACGCCATCGCCTTCTATAAACACAGATCGTTGGTGCAAAGGATCGGCAGCCCGCATTACCTGCGGTAGAGACAGCAAGAAATTGAGGCACTGCGGGATGAAGAAGAAGAGGAGCGTCTTTGAAAAGTGACCGAGAATTCCTGCAGCTGCGAGCACGACGCCCTGCGGCACATCCACCCACCATCCAACGAATGAATTCTTGAATGGTGTTGCTGTGTGCGTATAAAGGGGAAAAGAGTAGTTTGGTGCGTGATGCCTTCCAGCTTTTTGGGGAAAGGCAAAAGAGGGTTCATTTGTGTAGGGCGAAAGAAGAGAGCAGCCACAGCCTGATACAGTGAAGTCCAGATACTTGGGGCCTGTTGCCCAACGCGCACGCGTGTTTCCTTACCGCGAAATACGTGTACGTATCCCCAACGAATGTCTGAGAGGGGTACCTTTGCAAGAAAAAAGGCGCATGCAAACTGCAGACGCCGAGCTTGCCACACTGGCAGAACGGACGAAGGACGCGGAAATACGAGTCCAACGGTCTCAGCATCAAGCCGAGATAGCAGAATCGGCACGCGCAGCAGCGTCAGCAGCGTTTTGGCGTGTGGGCGGTATACCAATTGTGTTTAAGTAGTGCCAGAGAAGTGGCTAAGAACGGGAGGCAAAGGACCAGCGAGAGAAAATGCTGTGAGCACCACAGAGGAAACAAAAAAAACGTTCCGGCAGCTATTATACTGCTTCTGTGGTTGTTGCTGCCGCTGTTGCGGTACGGGGCTTCAGGACGGAGGCCATAGGGGATGCCTCAAGTTTCTCAGATTTAGAGGGCGGATACCTGCTGAGCCGCAATAACTTTGGCAGCTTCGGTCGACGCCAATCCAGAGTTGACCTCCTGAAGAGCAAGAAGTTGCAATAACAACAGCAAAAGCGAATAACACCAGCGGCAGCAGACAACGGGGAGACACACACACACACACACACACACACAGAGAGAGAGAGAGAGAGAGAGAGAGAGAGAGAGAGAGACAGAGAGAGAGAGAGACAGAGAGAGACAGACAGACAGACAGAAGTAGAGCAGAATCCTCTCTAAAGGAGGATAGGGGTGAGTGGAGTGCTCTGCCTCGAGTTCTCGTGGACCTTGATTGCTAAGGGGCCCAAGATACAAGAAGGCAATTTCGTTGAAAAAACCTGCAGCGCCAGAAAGGCCGCTCACGATAATGTTATGAATGCAGACAAAGGCTGCAATCACTGTCGACTGCCCCACTTCGAGGCCGTTAATCCCTACAGCGAGAAGCACCACACAGACGGACACACAAAATGCAGGTGCCACGATTGTTTGGTGTAAAGCCCTCTTGCTCCAATTTTATTCCCCCTGCTCTTGCACTGCTGCTCGATGTGCTACATGGCGCACCAGCATAGATGTTGATGGCATTGGTGCAAAAGATGGTGAGCAGCGTCATATACACATAATATAGCCGACCGACGTCAACCAACACCCAGCTTCCACTGTTGTTGCTGCTGCTGCTGTCTTCACCGTTGCTGCCGCAGAGACCTGAGTGTATCGAGCCGTCATTTACAGCTGCAGCAATGAGGCTTCCGTGCTGCAGCACACAAGGCACATACAGAGGTCGTGAAAGCTGCTGAGCAGCAACAGCAAGAACCCCCCCACCCGCTCCCCCCCTTTGTCCCCCTAATAAAGCACCACCAGTCTTCTTGAGCGCATGCAGCGGCTGTTGCCAGTGCAGCTACATCGATCAGAAATGTTGGCCTCCAAGAGAGGACGCGGCGTCTTGAAGCCCAGTGCTGCTACTGCCGTTACTGCTGCTGCTGTTACTGTTACTGCTACTGCTGCTGCGCATTAGGAGCCAAACGCACCAACAAATCAGACACTTGCTGCATTAGCCAGGAGGGAGCGTAAAAGACATATGGCGCAGCAGCTGCTGCTCCAGGTGACTCGGGGCAGGGCAGGCCGGTGCTGTAGAATGACGGCAATGCGTGCTGCTGCAATCGTTGCAGCAAGGGCTCGAGAAATCCTGCAAGGTGTCTGATGTACCCTATACACGCCGCAGCAACAGCTTCCACGGCAGCCAGTGCAGCGCAGGAGCAGTGCCTAAGGTGGCTGTACACCTGCGTGGGCAGCACTACAGTAGTGCTGCCGCTATACGCGGCCAGGATAGGAGCTGCAGCCAGCAGCGGCAGCAGCAGCTTGACACGCCACGGGAGGGCCAGAGCGTCATCAGCAAACCCCAAGAATCCCATGGATGTCGCCCCCAACAGGGCAGCAGGAAATTCCACCAGCTGCAACAATTAGCACACCGGAAGCTCTATGGGGTTGCTGTGCGTGTATTCGTACGGCGCGGTAAACAGCAGCATGCCAACGCCATAAGCACAAAAGCTAAGAAGCATCCGCAAGAGGGGCAGCAGCAGCACGAGCAGCAGGATGAGCAGGAGCATGAGCATGAATGAGCATTAGCAGGAGTGAGCAGGAGCATTGGCATGAATGAGCAGGAGCATGAGCATGAATGAGCAGGAGCAGGAGCATTAGCATGAATGAGCAGGAGCATTAGCATGAAGGAGCAGGAGCATTAGCATGAATGAGCAGGAGCATTGGCATGAATGGGCAGGAGCATTGGCATGAATGAGCAGGAGCATTGGCATGAATGAGCATGAGCATTGGCATGAATGAGCAGGAGCATGAGCATGAATGAGCATGAGCATTGGCATGAATGAGCATGAGCATTGGCATGAATGAGCAGGAGCATGAGCATGAATGAGCATGAGCATTAGCATGAATGAGCATGAGCATTGGCATGAATGAGCATGAGCATTAGCATGAATGAGCAGGAGCAGGAGCATGAGCAGGGTAGATGTGCTGCCGCGAGGCACTCTTTTTTTGAGGGCTCGAGGGGAGAGTTGGCGATCCCTACCCGTTGGTGCTGGCGATCCAGCAGCAGCTGCCCGGCTGTTGCCGCAGTCAGAAAGCAAAAGACGCAGCAAAGGCCCCCTGCCTCAGGAACGGGCGGGTAAGAAGACGGCTTGTGCAGATCTCTGCCGAAAAAGCCTGTATCACAACCGGAGGTTGGTAGAGGGAAGGAGCAGTGTGAGTGGTAGACACACACACACACACAGATATACATATATATATACACTTATATATATATATATATATATATAGATATTTATATACATAGGCACATACATACATATATATATATATATATATATATACATATATAGACACACACAGATACACACATATATACATGCACATACACACACATATATATATACACATACACACACATATATACACACACATAGACACATACATATATATACACACCAAAGGCTCCTACGGAAAAGAAGAGGCACTGGAGGTGGGGGTGCATGGGCGGATTTGTAGCGAAGTCTTATTGGGGAGAAGAATGCATATGCGCCTGCGTGACGGCAAGGAAGGGGCTTAGAGCGGTGGAAGGTTGCACGTGTGTAGAGGGATAGAAGGGCGTTTGTTAGAGAAGACGGCATTAGGAGGCGTGGCACACGACGACGGGCACAACATGGGGGCAGACAGGTCTTTAAGAGCTCTAGCCCACACGAGGCGACAATGCATGTAGGTTTTTTCTGTTTGCTTTTTTCATCCGCCTCAAAAAAGCAAGAAAGGGATAGACGGATGGCTGAATGGCAGGCGTTGGCGAATGAGCAACGCACCCCGGGCCTTTAATTTGTTTCCAAGGGTAGGCATCAGAAAGTCTGCGGCTGCGAAGGCAGCAAGCGATGCTGCACCAATGAGCAGCATCTTTGAGCACAGAGCTGAGGGGACTGCCACGAGGGTGCCGGAGAGGAATAGCAGGAGTAGCACTAAAGGAGCAGAGGAGCGCTTGTGCAAAGAAGCGACGGCAGGTGCCACGTCCTCGCTGTGGCTCCTCACGTCGTCTGCTTCGGACGGCGACGCTGTATAGCCTTGTACTGTCGAGAGCTTTGCTCCTCCCTTAGGCATTTCGTCGAGCGTTTTCCCCGTTGCGAAGTCTACCCCCGATTTTACAGCTGAATGAGGTGCACATTGAAGCGCAGCTGCGGCGTCATCGTTCAGCATCTCTGCAGCTGCGGCAGAAAAGCTAGAGTTAGGCTCTGCAGACTTCTGCTGAGCACTTCTGCTCGCTGTACGCCTCATTGCCAGGATTTCAGTGCAGGATTGAGTGTACGGCCATCCCACGTAGCACCGAAGACACCCCCTACTCCCACACGCACACCCCAGATGCAGCGCACCACTGCTCTTATTGAATGCTCCGGCGCTCGAATCGAGGCTACAGAGGCCTCCCCGCGTTGCAGCTGAATCGGAGAGCTCGCGCAGCGTCTTGAGGGCAGCAGTTGCAGTTGTTACGGTGCAAGCCCGCTGTCAGATTGCTTGGTCACTCCTCCTCCTGCGGGGGGTGTCTGCCGCACACTTCAGCGTCTAGACATTGAAGGCCGACAGCGTAGAGCAAAAATTAGTGCTCGTAAGGTTTGCCGCTCGGAGGCAACGACTCGGGAACGCCTCAGCGAAACACCAGTGGTAGGGCACGATGCCTCAAGATTCGTGGCCTCTGCCAAGCACTGCCCCGCTAAAACATAGACTAATAATAAAAGGCGACAATCTACAAAAACCACGACGCGAAGGACCGTTTCGAACAATATTATGAGGCTTCCTATCACTAGAGTTTTGCCTCTACGCCGATGGCGGGTAGGGAGGGAGGAGGGGGAGGCCCCTCGCCACTTGGCTTCGGAGGAACACGGGAGAGGAATTCTGCACTTTTGTGTAGATCCCTATGCGCTTATCCACTTTTATGGGCTGCTCAAGGCGAGTCGCTCCTGGCTGCCGCTGCTGATCTTTGTCTTCTTTTCCTCTCATCTTCAGTTTGCTTCCTGGAAGTGGGAGAGCACCCCCGTATGTACGCAGCCCGCTGTGGTCGCTGGATCTATAAGTCTCCGCTTTCCCTTTCTGTACTTGCTTCTTACCTCTGTGAGACTTCTTCTTCTCCTCTGGATCGGCGCGTGGACGCCTGCTTCTGCCGTGTTTCGCATGAGCAGCTGCGGCCGAAGCGGTGCCCTGGCGCTTTTTTTTCTCAGTCGTTCGCTGCTTTCCTCTATTTCTTATGAACTACGAAATGAATAGACGCATCCAGCTTTCGATGTAAGCCTTCGAGGCTGCTGCTGCCGCTGCAGCACGGTACATTTCCGTGTGCTTCCCAGATGACGCGAACGACCGAGGCAACCCACCGCCCCGTAGTCGCGGTCTGTACACCGCAGCAGCAGCAGTGGCAGAAGCAGCAGCAGCAGGTAAGACACGATGGCGCGGTGGATTTCAGGCGATTCAGCCGGCCGTCTCTGCTTCTTTGACTGCGCCGTGGGCTCCCATGTGGTGCTCCCCGTCATCTCGAGCAGCAGCAGCAGCAACAACAGCACTTATTTTCGAAAGCTGTTGGACAGCCACTGCAGCTGCCTCACCTTCAGTGGTGGGTGGGGAGGATATGATGAAACAGAGGTCACCATCGGTACTGCAGAGGGAGGCATCTTCGCTTTCGCCCCCCAGTGGCCTTCCCCAGCTGCATGCAGCAGCAGTGGCAGCAGCAATGGCAGCAGCAGTGGCAGCTACTTTGCCTTTGCCCACACAGAAGGGATGACGGAGGTGCTCCGTTGTGCTTCTTTGCCGTATTGCGTTCTTCTGGTGCAGATGCTGGGCATGCACACGCCTCAGCTACGACGCCTCCTGCAGTATTCGGAGGCAGCAGCGGCGGCAGTTGAGGCAGATTTTCCGTGTCTGGGAAGTGCTCTCTCTGGCGGGTGCTGTTGCAGCAGTAATAGCAGTGGCTGCCACTTGCGCAGCAACGATTTGTTCAGCTCTGATCGACGGCTACTCGCTGTGGATAAAGGCGGCAACGGCGTTGTTCTCGATTGGAGTGGTGGAGGCAGCGGCAGCGAGACGCTTTGCGAAGCCACTGAGTTCAGGGGCTTCTCTCTCAGGGAGCCTCTCTGTTGCTGCAGCAGTAACAGTCTGCTGCAGGAGCAGCTTGCCGTTGCCTCTGCAACGGCGGCTTCCTTCCTCTCCGTGTATGACATTGAGTCCAGCGCGTTTTGCTTTTATGCGCATGCGCCCCCCACGACTGCTGCCGTCGCGCAGACCATTCTTCGGTGCAGCAGCAGCAGCAGCAGCAGCAGCAGCAGCAGCCAGCAGGGGATCGGGATCGGTGCAGCAGCAGCAGCAGCAGCATCAGAACGGACAGCTCCTGTTGCAGGAAGCGGCAGCAGAGCTGCTGCACGCCTTCCCGTGTACACCGCTGTAACGTCGCCGTGGCATCGAGGATCCCCCGCTGCTGCAGGAGCAAGTGCTGCTGCTCCTGCCTCTGCTCCGACGGGCAGCAACAGTTCGAGTCACACCACGAGCAGCAACAGCAAGCTGCAGCAGCAAGTTTGCACCAGCATTACGTGGCTTCCGCGGCTTGGACCTTCTCTCCTGTGCGGAGTGACTGCAGACGCGCTGCTGCTGCTGTACGACACAAGAGTCTCGTCATATCCTGTCTACATCGCCGCTACGGGAGCAAGACAAGGGGGGCTCAAAAGGGAGGAGCCATGTGCAGGAGCAAGCCCTCCTTCTTCGCCGGATCTCCTGCATGCGGCAGAAGCTGCTGCTCCTCAGCCTATGATCTTTGTAGGCGCCCAGCCTGGCATGGTCACTGCCTTCGACGAGATGGAAGCAGCAGTGCTGCCTTGCTGCTGCAGCTGCTGCAGCTGCACGGCTTGCGAGAGGCAACGCAAGCAGCAAAAACCTGGAGTTCAAGGCCGCCTTTCGGAGTCACTCTTTGAGGATCACCGCGGCTGCCTGGTGCTGAAGCCTCACGCCACAACGCGGCGGAAAGGCGCTAGCGCTAGTGCGAGCAGCAGCAAAATCCGCAGCAACGACGCCAGCAGCAGCCGTCTGCTGCTCTCCAGAAAGCTGCGCCAACGTATCACGCAAGAATTCGAAGGTCTCCGGAAGCTGCACGCGATGCAACAGCCAGACTCCAGTGCCGCGAAAGAAGGCATTATTACCGCCCCCCCCAGCAAGAGCAGCAGCAACAGCAGTAGCAGCAACAACAATGGCAGCAATAGCAATAGCAATAGCAATAGCAATAGCAATAGCAATAGCAGCAACGGCAGCTGTTGCGGCGGGAGAATAGCGGTGGATTCTGCGTCACAAGCAGCGCAACTCCCATCACAGGGCAGTCTAGCGAGTAGGCCAAAGGCTGCAACAGCCTTTGAAGACTCGGCAGACAACAGCAGGCTTTGTCGCTCATCATACAGCAGCAGCTGCTGCACGAGAGAAGCAGGAGACGGGCAACAAGAGAGCGGCAATTGGAGGGCTGCACTTGTGGCTCGAAGTAGCACTTCTGATTCTGTGCTGACATCGTTTCCAGTGCGCTGCTCTGTTGGGGACCATGGTTTCAAGCACGAGCAGCAGCAGCAGCAAGAGCAGCAGCAGCACGAGCAGCACGAGCAGCAGCAGCACGAGCAGCACGAGCAGCAGCAGGCGGGAGACCTCCCTCCAGAAGTGCTCGGTTGGCTCGCAACGGCATGCCACGCGCTTGTTGCTACTGCGCTTTCTCTCCTGCTGACGGAGAAGCACAAATTAAGAAATCGGTTGCTGCAGCACGTACAGCAGCAGGTGTTGTTGCTGCTGCGTAGCAGCCGTCTCTCCCCGGAAGCGTTGGAACCTCCTGCTGGTGCTGGCGCTGCTGCTGGTGCTGGTGCTCCGAACAGTGCAAAGGGTCAAAATCAGAGCGACAGCAGCAGCTGCAACGGCGAATCGAGCTGGGAATATGATGGCTCTTATCAGGCAGCAGGCACAGCCGCCGTGCGGCTACCGAAGCGGATGCGGTTGAAAGGCGGGAGTCTCTTACGTGGGCGATCTGCTGTTGGTGAGGCTGCTGCTGTTGATGCTGCTGCTGCTGTTGGTGAGGCTGCTGCTGCTGGTCTTGGAGAGCTGCGCTCGGATGCGTCGGTGTCTGCAGTCCTTTCTCGTGCTGCACCGCACGGCGAAAAGCAGGGAGCGCTGCAGCAGTTCGCGAGACAGGTCATGAAGCTGCTGCACCTGATGGAGCCTGCGGATAGCTGCCACTTGCGGCATGAGCAGCAGCAGCTACAGCAGCAATTAGAGCGGCACATGCCGTTGCTGCTGCAGCAGCAGGAGCAAAACGTGTTGCGGCTGCTTGAGTACTGTGCAGCCTTCTCCTTTTGTTTCTCCCAAGCGTGCCTGGGTAGAGGCAGCGCCTCTTCAGAGGCTTCGCAGGCAACCGAAGCCGCTGGAGTCGTCATGAGGCAGTCCGAACTACCCTCGCTGCTGCTGCAAAATGCGGCAAAAGAAGTGCTAAGGCACTTCAAATGGGCAGCAGCAACAGTGGGAACTCCCGCCGCTGCAAATGCAGCCTTGGCTGCTGCTCGACTCTTTGTTCGGGGGATTTCCTGTAGTTTTGGACTGCCTGCGCAGCAGCCGCATTTGCTCTTCAATGTGTTGCAGTTCTCGATGCAGCAGCAACCGTTACAGCAGCAACCGTTACAGCAGAAGAAGCAGCTGCTGCTTTCTTCCTCGCAGCCGCACGGGGAGGAAGCCTTGCGAGAAAATGCAGATGCGCCAAAACAGCAGCAGCACGCTGGGGTCCTGCTAGCAGCCGCGCTCCCCGAGGTGTATATACAGCGCAACTGCATCTGCCGCCTGCCCATTACGGATGCGCTGTACTTCAAGGTTGCGAGACAGCAACGCAGCAGCAGCAGCAGCAAGACGACAAGCAGTGAAGCAAACCCCACCAGCAGCAGCAAGACGACAAGCAATGAAGCAAACCCCACAAGCAGCAGCAAGACGACAAGCAATGAAGCAAACCCCACCAGCAGCAGCAAGACGACAAGCAATGAAGCAAACACAACCAGCAGCAGCAAGACGACAAGCAATGAAGCAAACCCCACAAGCAGCAGCAAGACGACAAGCAATGAAGCAAACCCCACCAGCAGCATCCCCGTCCCACATACTGCCAGATTGATATGCTGCGATACTGTCGGGGAGATTTCGGTGTTGCGCGTGTCTGTATGTCGCTTTCGAGGTCTGCGGGCAAAGCAGCAGTACGTGAGGCGTGGGGAGGGGGCAGCCTGGAGCACTGCGCAGGAGACGCCGAATCAAGCAGACACACTAGCGTCATGTGGCATCTGGTTCCCCCGACTTCCTTCTTTGAACCTCGATCAGTCAGAAGTAGAGCGCGCAGCGTCGATAGAAGGAGACGCTGCGCTGGCAGAAGGCGATGGTGGTGGCTGCAGCTGCAGCTGCTGCTGCAGCAGCTACAGCGTGGAGTTGGAGAGGAGCTTTTTTGCTTCTCGCAGCAGCAGCAGCAGCAACCTCTCTGTACACTCTAACGGTTCATATTTGCTATTGGCCTCGAGAGACTCACACTTTGCACTGTATGGAATTCGCTCCGATTGCATGCCGTGCGGCAGCAACTCCAGCAGCAGCTTAGCCACCGCAAGGGTGACGACTCCCCTCTTAGGACTGGCGCGTCCGCCTGGGGCTGCCGCTACTACGCTGCTGCAGCAGCAGCATGCAGCAGCAGCAGGAGTGCAGCCGCTGCTGCTGTCTGCTGCACCCCTGCTTCCCTCCGTGCCTCTCCCTCCCTCAGTCCCCCCCTACCTCGCAGTCCCCCCAGTACCCTCCTCTCAGCTCAGGCTCCAGCGCAGCTTCCACCAGCAGCTGCAGCAGCAACAGCATGCAGCCGCAGCGCCAGGCGCTGCTGCTGTAGCGTGGGACGTGTCCATCGAATTCAGCGACTGGAATTCCGAGCCGGAGGAATCCGGAGAAACACAACTCGCCGAAGAGGACTAACCGGCCACCTCCGAACCCGTGGCAACACGAATATACAAAAGCAGCTCCCTCAACACTACCGTTCTATGCAGCCCTTTTCTGCACTGATTGCATGCAGACGGGGCACCTCTTTCTGCGTGGTACTACGGCCCAAGAGGCAGTCGCAGGACCCCTAACGATTGCGGCAGCAGTATCTGTACCGACCATTGAGAGCGCCTCCAGGCATGCCTCGCAAGCTCTCACCTCCGGAGCAGCGTCACTCTGAAATGAGCCTATGTGAATCCTAATGGTTTCTGTCTTTGCGGTGCGGGGGGGCTCCGAGAAAGTGGGGCAGGCGCAACTGCGTAGGGTGCCGCCCTTCTCCCCCCACAGCGAGGAGCCGGCTGCTGCTCACTACACAGCTCCGGCGTTACAAAATTCCAACTAGAAGCTTTAAGGAGCTCACTGTACAATGGCACGCGAACCTAGGGTTGCAAGCTCGCCTCTCAGGGCGCTCACCCTGTCCAGAGCAGAAGCAGGCTATGGCGGGGGCCAGACTGTGCACAGAATACATGGGTACTTACGGTCCTTCAACCTAAGCATTTGCCCTTTTGTCGCCCCTAAAGAGGCAGTTTTTTTGAAAGATCCCTTGCTTTTTTCAGCAGCAAAGACTCTTCCCCCCTTGCGCACCGCCATTCCCTCCGCCGAGGTTTACCACCTAGGGTGAGGTCTTGGGTGTAGGAGCGAGCTGCAGAACGGCTAAAATCCCTAGCGCGTGTGCAATCTACGAGTCCAGGGAACTTCCTCCGTATCCAATGCGTACTAATTCATGTTTCCATGCGGATACACATATATGTATACACAAATGTGTGGCCTTTTGCTGCCAAATTTCTGGGCATAGACATGCTTCTCTCGGACACACCTTATGCGCTCAGCAGTCTTGAAGAAAAAGAAAAGAGGGTTTTGGGGTTTGAAAGGCAGACTCACTCCCACAGGTTCCTTCTGGGGGCTCATGAGGAGGGGGGGAGCGCCACCCCTGTTGGGGGGGCCCCGTAGGCAGGGGGGGCCCCAGTGACCTCCGCTGCGTGCTTCTGTATTTTAAATTGCGACTTCTTTTAATCAAATGTAATAGCTCTTGTTCTGCGTTTTTATATGGCTAGAAGACACGTAGGGTGCATAGGCGGGGCCCTTCTGCCCCCCGTTCCCCCCCCCGGCCCGCCTGCCCGCCAAGGAGGATGAATCCCTCTACTTGGTCCTCTGTTGTTTTTCTTGATGTCTTACCCTCCCGCCACCTAATATTTAATTTCATCGACTTTCACAAGTTAAAATAGGCCGGGGTGGTCGCCGGCGCAAGCATTTTCCCCATTCTAGCGTCGGCTTCAAGGGCCTCAGTTCTGCTCGTGTCCATCGGTGCCTGCTGCAGGTGCTCCTCCTGCTGCTGCCTTCGCTCTTGCTGGCGCGATTGCACCTTCTGGAAGACTTTGGCAGCTGCTGTCTGGTTCTGCCGGCAGCGAGCTCTTCACAGGAGGCGCAGGGGCAGTAGAGGTCGAAGCCGCCACGAAAAAAGCGCGCTAACGGCCCTCCTCCCCCCCCTCCACCATGTCTAATTGCTTGAAGAGTTCCTTTAACACTTCACCGGGTGTCTCCTGCTTCTCACAGCTCTCGCTTCCCCCCAGCCCGAGAGACGGGATTCCTTCCTTGGAGAGTTCGAGTCAAGGGGGAGGGGGGCCGTGTGCTTGGAATACCCCCCCCTTGACAGCCATTCCGAATACTTTGGCGTGGGAAGAGCCGTTCGAGCTCGGTTCCGTTTCTCCGACGGACGAGGCGGAGCGCTTGGTCCCTCCCGCCGTCGCCTTCGCAGAACTTAAGGGGCTGCTAGCCGAAAACTGCGAGAAAGGAGCCAAATCGTTAGTGCAGGGAGTGCCTTCCCGCGACTGTGGGGAGCAGAGCAGACACCGTGCGGCTATAGCGTTTCGCTCAAGAGGTCTTGCCGCTGCTGCTGCCTCCCTTGCTGCGTCTGCCAAATCAAGGGCAGCACCCGCAGCAGCAACGGCAGCAGACTCCAGAGATGCAAGCCGAGGCAGTGTCTCTTCTGCCTCAGCGTCAGCGCGCAGCGCCTTTTGGCTGCGACCCTTCGAGCTTGAACTCCTCGTCAAGCTGAGGCATCGCGCGAATGCGGCTTCAGCAACGCAAATCGAAGAAGCAGCTGCAGCTGCAGCTGCTGCCTTCCAGAGGCAGAAATTCGGCTGCCTTGCTCAAGATGGTGCTTCTTCTCCGTCTTGCGATGAAGGCGTAATGACTCCGCCTGTTGCCGGCAGAGACGGTGCCAAAGGACCTCTTGAAGAACAGCGCGATTCTGTTGTTTCAGACGCCGCATCAGCCATGAAGAACCCCCGTCTTTGCCCTTTTGGCCCTTTGTTTGTTGCTGCAGCCAGCGGTGCAAAGGAAGACTCCTTCGAAGAGGCCCCTCACTCTCTACAAGAGCCGGAACGTCAGTGTCTACCGAGCAAATCTCATACCTTCGACGCCTGGAGCGAAGGCAACCAGAGCCAAGAGGGCGCTGTGCGCTTCGCTTGGCATCCCTCTTCCTGCGCAGAGGCAAAGGCTAAGACGCCTTCCAGCTCCCAAGCAGCCCCCTCTAGGACTGAAGCGCTGCTCCAGCAGGAAGAGATCGATAATCAGCAGAAAGAGATCGATCTTCAGCAGAAAGAGATCGATCTTCAGCAGGAAGAGATCGATCATCAGCAGGAAGGGATCGATCTTCAGCAGGAAGGGATCGATCATCAGCAGGAAGAGATCGATCATCAGCAGGAAGGGATCGCTCCTTGTTCAGTGACGGCAGCAGCGCGCGCGTCTGCGGCAGGCGCTTTAATCGCCATTCAGAAAGTAGTGGCAGAAGTAGACGAAGAGGAAGAGGAAGAAGAAGAAGTCGTGCTGCTGCCGCCAACGCAGAGGACTCAACAACACCACGAGCCGCCTCCATCGGCAGCAGCCGCCTCAACAACAGTGTCTAGTGCTCCTGAAAAATCATCTTTTCACCGCCTCTCACAAGGCGCCTCCGGCACACACTTGTACACCCCCCCCCATTCACTGCCAAACACAACAGCAGCCTCACCGCAAGCCCTCCTGTCCGTCGTGGCTGCTGCAACACACCAGCCTTTTCCGAGGATTTCTCCTTCTCGCGAGCCTGCTGAGCGCCCCTCTGCTGCAGAGATGCTGCCTCCTGCTGTGCCTCTGGAGCAGCTGCCGTCGAGTGCTCCAGAAGAGAAGTCTACGAGAGCCTGCCCCTCACCACTCCCTGGCCTCAAGGAGTATTCTGAGCATCCTTTTTTTCAATACCAGGAAGAGGGAAGCGCAGTTGCCTCCGCAGAAGCCGCCAGACAGGCTGTGAAGCACGCTGCAGCTGCGCTGCCACAGTTCGAAGGGGGACCCTTTCCCCCTCCTCGCCTCTCTCCAAGTCGCTTCGACGAACCCTCAACGCCGCAACGGCCACTGGAGGTGCTCAACTCCGCAGCAGGTACAGCAGCAGCAGCAGGAGGCGTAGGAGGAGGAGTCGGAGGAGGAGTAGGAGGAGGAGCTGCAGCAGGTGCAGCAGCAGGAGTAGGAGTAAGAGGAGACGGTACTGAGCTATTTGGTTCTGTGGGTGTAGCCTCTCCATACTTGACTCCCCCACGACCCCCCGCGAGGCTCCCCTGTGCTCCTGGGCTGCTTGAAAGCGCAGTTTTGGAGCTTTCCACGCCATTCTCTGGATCTGCAGCTTCCAGGCGAGGCACACTGAAGTCTTCTGCTCGACGGCCTGCTTCCTCTCTAAGTCGTACCATAATAGAAGCAACCGCCAGACGGTTTAACCCCCTCCCGTTTGGGCGCCCTCTGACAACTCCAAAAAAGCAATCGGCGTGGTCAGGTGCTGCGAGTCCACCGGAGAATAAGAGGGGCGTTGGTGGCTCTCAGGCGCTAGAGAACTGTGCAGTGCGTTACAGTGGCACTAGCAGCATGGCTAGCAGCAACACGAGCAGCAGCATAGCTAGCAGCAACACGAGCAGCAGCATAGCTAGCAGCAGCATAGCTAGCAGCAGCGCTAGTACCGCCGACCAGGTTGACTGGGCAGAGGCGTTTGCTGCTGGGGGGAGGCGGTGCCAGGAAGGAGGTTTCGAAAGGCGAGGGCGTCTTAAGCAGGAGAGCGATTGCCAGTCATTAGAACAGCCCCTCCACCATCCTCAGCGCCGACGGGAGCGTTTGCTGCAGCGGCTGCAAGGCTCTGCTAGCTCGACAGCGCCAGACGGCAGGGTGGAGGAGGGCGTCTGCAATCAGAGGCCTCACAATGCGGGAGGCTTCTCGGCGGATGTGCAGGAAGTGCCAGCAAGCGAAAGAGTCTCTGTTTGCGATGCTGCCGCGGCATGTGCGAGTGCAGGGGGCAGCACCGCTGGCGAACGCTTGCTCAGAGTTGCCTTCTCTCCGTATCAGGTGCAGCAACTGCTGCGAAGGGGGGCCTATGGATTTCATCTTGAAGGCCTTCTGTGGATGCTTGAGAGGGAGGGGCGGCTGCTTCCGTGTGAGAAGGAGGCTTCTTCTCGCCACCACGAAGATATCGACTCCTTTTTCTTCCCAGGAGATCTTTCTAGGGGGGCGTACTTTGCCAGAGGGGGGCTTCTTGCAGATGACGGCGGCCTGTGCATCCGCATGCAGCCAGTCGCGCTCATCGCAGCTACACTTCCAACGGGGGATCTGGAATTTTCGAGAGAAGTTTCGGGTGCCGGAAACTGTTGCGAAAGAGGCGCTGACCTTAGGAGCGAGAGAGACGACTTGGAGGAAGGCGAAGAAGTGCTGGCATCGCTGGTTCTGACTCCGGCCAGTATTCTTCCGCAGTGGGAAGCCGAGATACACCGCCTCTGTGGCATGAAGCTGCGCGTCTTGAATATGCAGCGGCACCTGAGAGAAACGGGTGCGTCAAAGTACCACACCGCCGTTGTTACACTTAGGGGGCTTAGGCAGTAGGTCATCTGCGGTTGGCTCTGCGTGTAAGTATGACTGCGGAGTAGTAGGGTAGACGCAGGAGGAGGGAAGTCTCAGCCGCAGCCTCCACGCCCGACAGCTGCCGCACGCCTTGGCCCTCTGCTGACGCTGTGTGTGCCTCCGCCCGCTGGTTTGCTGCATGTGTCTCCAGGGTGCCCCCTAATAACACCCTCCGTGCTCCAGGGAGCTCATGTGGTGCTAGTCTCCTATGAGGCGCTTGAAGACGTGGGGTGTCTGTGCAAGCGGCCACCTTATGACCAAAGAGCGCCTCGAAGGCAACGCCAAGAGGCCTGGCAGAGCCGGCAGCGATCTCGCACGCAGCTGCCTTCCCAGGATCTGTGCATGCAACACGCTGCTGGAGAAGGAGAGGCGGATCTGTCCAGGGGTGATGGCCTTTTTATGCCAAGTTGCACACCGTTCGACGCGGAGCTCGGAGGGGGCTCAGAGGATGTGGAGGAACGTCGCATTGCGACTCCCGGAAAGCCGCAATGCTTCGCCGCGAGAAAAAAGCATCGAGACGTTGACAGCCCCCCAAAACTCCCCTCTCTGCCGTCTTCGCCCTCTCCCTTCTACAGGAAGCTGCCCATGCTTCCCAGCACGCCAGAGAGCCAAACCTCCAAACGTCGGAGAGGCGGATCAGCCAAGGGGAAGTGCAGCACTCCCAAGACAGCCAGCCAGAGTCATGTGTCCCTTTGGGGCCCTCAGAGGCCTCGCTGCTCATGCATGCAATGTTTTCTGCTGGCGCGCAAGTGGCATAGGCTCGTGCTAGATGAGGTTCACCTGCTTCTCGGCAGGGAAAAACTCGCCGACACCGTCAAGGCAATCGCTGCACCCTATCGTTGGGGTCTCACAACCGCCTTAGGGGAGGCACCGCCCTGGGAGCCGCCTCCGGCGAGGGGGAGCTCCTCCGATTTGCAAGAGCGGCATGGAGCGAGACTCTGGGAAGTAGGCCTTTTTGTTCAAGACCCTTCTGGCCTCTTGCAGCTAGTCGGCCTGAAGCAATCAGAGCGAGAGTTGCAAATGGAAGGCAGAGACAGGGAGGTGGTGCGCATTGAGGCGTGTTTTTGCGGAAGCACCGAGGCAGCTGCAACTTGTTGCGAAGAGGATACAAGTGGGGGGGGAGCAACGAGACAGAGAGCGTGGCGTGCTGTGCTGCGGCGAACACAAAGCGATTTAAGACAGAGGCAAGAAAGAGGCAAACTCCTGTGTCGTGACGCGGCAGCCCTCCTGCAACGCATGCAAATTCAGGTTCGCCTGATACAGCCGGTATTGCCAGATATATGTGTAACGTTCCAAATGTTGTCGTTCGCCTCTACGCATGAAATGGAAGTGTACCGGCGTTTGGAAGAAACGGCTGTTGCACAGCTGGCGACTAGACGGCAGAAAGTTTCTCTGCATCCTTTGGAATGGATCTTGCGCCTGCGACAGGCCGCTCTGCACTGTACACTTTTGGGAGACGTGGCCGACGTTTCTCAGCGCGCGGCGCTATGTTTGCGCAGTGATCTTTCAGAGAGTTCGGTTACAGCAGGAGTAGGGAGCCCTGAGAGGCGGAGGAAAAGGTTGTCGATTCGGTCCCCTGGGCACCCAATAGACGAGCAGTTCCAGATAGGAAAAGACACAACACACGAAGAATTTTTGTGTCTCGGCTTCCCGCAGGTGGCGGCAGAAGAGTCCGCAGCAGCGCACAGTACAAAGACGCAAGCGATTGTGGCCGCAGTGACAGACATACTACAGGAAAATTGTGCTGCCAAGATTGTGATCGCCTCTACGTTTCCTGCCTTTCTAGCGTTGCTGGAGCCACACTTGGCCCAGGTATTCAGAAGACTTGATCCCGCAGGTAGTGGCATCGGCAACAAAATACTGAGGATCACGGGGCATACAAGTATTGAGTGCAGCGCACATGCTATCCGCAAGTTCGTCACGGAGAGCCATGGTGCAGTGCTGCTAGTTCCAGCCTTCTCCTCTGCCTTGCATGGGGTCGATGGTCTCCAAGGAGCAGGTAAGTTAGTTAGGTTTCGAGTCCTTTTTTAACAGCATTTTAAACAGTCCTCTACACATCTGTAGCGCGAGTCATGTCTAAGTATGATGCAAGAAACTCTTCCTGTACCGAACCCTACGCTAGGTAGTGCAAAGGTTTCCTTTGATGCGAAATAACGGCTAGCTATCTGACCATAGTTGGCACGATGTTATCTGTGTCTTCGTTCAGGGCATCTGCTAGCATGCGAGCCCTTCATGAGTCCATGGCGACTCCGGCAGCTTGTAGGGCACTTGGCGCATATCCGACAGATGGAAAAGAAGTTATCAGTCCGGATTTTCTTTGTTAGAGACACCGTTGAGCACCGTATACTGCGCCTGAGACCCCCAATAGGATTCACGGACAGACCAAGCATCATTTCATGCGCAGGATCTGCGGCTGCTGATGAAAGCTTTCTGTGTCAGCAATCTGCGGAAAGCATTTTTGCACCCTTTGATGACACACATGCGCTTCTCGGAATAAACTCATAAGGTACACTTCGTTTTTGCATGTGCAACTGAGCTACACGTACACCATGCGATCACGAGCCACTAATTCGGTCATTGCGTCCACTGTTTTTCTGTTATATTCGCAAATATGAGTGTCCTATCCGGGCTACTACTTGAATGCGTCAGCTGTCAATGGATACCGACCATTGCTTTGAGTGGAATTCTGGGTTCCAAGAGCGTGACCAGTACAAGGCTCCTGAAAAGCCGGATGCGCATGGCCTTTGCTGGCGCAAAACGCAAATCGGCCTGGTGGCCTTTAAAACTCTCGAGGATGGTTCCAAAACGTGGATGCACTTTGATAGCAGGGAGAGAGGGACAGAAGTTTTTTTCAGTGAAACGACACGGGCTTTCTACGCAGACGGTGACATGACGGTTCCTGTGCCTCTCGTGAAACCGCTTCAAACGCTCGAGCACGGAATCGAGGAGCATCGGGAGCCCAATAAGACGGCACTCACCTCTCAGAACATCTGTATCACGAGCACTGCTACTTCCCGATTGGAGTCGATGCCCAAGAACTTTTCTCAGTATGCGTCACATACCGGTCCAGAGTTCAATCTGTCTAAAAGGAGTAATGCGTCGCCCACAATTGATACGGATTTACCCCTCGAAGAAGAAAGTTCAGTGGAGCTAGGGAGGAGTCGAGAAACCGCATCCGATTCGGCAGACACAGATCTTCCGGGGACGCCAAGGGTCTTGGAGAACTCTGCTTATGACGGTCATTTATCGTTTCCAAACACCGAAGAAGTAAATAATCAAAAACGTACTGAAAGAGGTGCATGCCTTTGCAGGAGCCCATGTATTTTCACATATTTCTCATGTTCTCATGGCGTTTGCATGCGTTCACCTTTTCCTATGACAGCGAAAAAGGTACTTTTACCGACAGTACCCCTGGCTTTCCAAAGCCCAGCAGGAGGCGTCGGCGAGCTGCTTTCCCTCTGGGGAAAAACAAACCCTAGAGAGGACATGACAGGAATGAACAACTTACACGTGCAACAAATGTTGGTGCGATTGCAGCAGGCAGGCGTCCCTGAGCGGCTTGAAAAGATTGCAGAAGAGGAGAAGGCGTACGAATTGGCCACCTATGACGCGAACAGTGGCTGTGCATGCATTTTGTATATTTTGAACAGGTTTTTGGCAGCGTTTGAATGCCAACTTACCGTCATCAACACAGAAATGGAACGCACGCAATCAACTGTAGCGCTGGCAGAGCAGGTATTAGTATTTTACTTTTTCGGCAACAGGAAAAACTTGTATTTTTGGGGTGTTAATTAGAAGCTGGAACAGTGCTATGAGATGCACAGGAAGATCGCAGAACTGGAGACTGACACTCTGACCTCTTGGTCTTTCACCGGAGTGATGCAGAATACCCTGAAACGAGCAGAGGCCTTCTTGAACTCGTGTTCCCCAAAGTGTTCAGAGAGCTAGGAAAATACGTTCGTTTATGTGCTTTTTGTACGCTGGCTTCCTTTTGGGCGACATGATCCGAAAGCTGAAAGGCCATAAACGCATTACTGGGGACTGCACAGGCCATTTGATGGACTCACACCACAGATCTCTCGGATCCCGGAAATCTTGAGAATATACTATCTCTTTCATGGGCATAATGAATCGCAGCAATAATGAATGTACTACCAGGCTGCGAAAATGCATCGATTCGCAATTGTGGGAACAGCGTGAAGAAGAACCCGCGTCCAGCAAAGCAGTTAAAAACAAATTTCCTATTTTTTGATTATTATTCTAAGCATTGAATTCACTTCATGCACGCTCTTCTGGGTCGCGAAATCACTCTTTGGACGTTAGATTGGACTGGCTTGACTTATGCAAATTAAGAATGCCTTCTTCGCATAGCTCTACGCAAAAATTACGTATTTCTTTATCAATTTTCCTGCTTTGTTGCGCATATGTCCGTTAAAACGTATGTAAAGGTGTCAGGCCAGGTTTTCCATAGGTGGCGGCTTGGCAATATAAGAGGAAGGGTGTCAAATAACAAGCATGGGCGCTTTGAAAGCCCTGTAACCGCAAAAGCCTGTATATACTATATGCATATTGAAAAAAGCGTTAGATTTTTGGGTAAACTAACAGCAATAATTTGGTTTAGCTTGGTTAATGACCCACACGCCCGTGCATAAGAGGAACACCGCCGCAAAATCCTGAAGGACTCCATCTCCAAAACAGAAATTAGCACACTGGTAGCAAGAATAAATCAGCTGCGTTACGTGAAAAGAAAACCTAGGAGTGCATTGGGGAAAATCAGAAAGCTCATCCAATCGGATCGGCTGTCAGCTAGCAGAGGCGCTCTTCTGCCTCGATGAGCACAGCAAACAAGGACCAAAATAAGAAATTTCAAAAAAATGCTCGTGTCCTTTACTTTTATTATAAGCAGAATCTACGATTTTTGCTAAATCTTCATCTGAATTCCCTTCTCCCGTGTATCATCGCTTCTACCACCAAACTCCCGTCGGCAGTGGTTAATTCAAACGAAGTCCGGTTTGTTCGTGCACTCTTCCACTTTTGTTGTTAACAAAACACCTAGGTACTTAACACATCTTTATTTTTGAGCAGGGTTTCTTGGTGGCTTGAATTCGAACGCCTCCAGCCTGTATTTGCAAGAATTCTGGAGGCACTCCCTCCTGGTGAAAAGTGCATTCCAAACAACCGTTCAAAAGCCTAAACGCCCTCTTTACTTCTGCAGATGAAGCTCTGACTAGCTTCAGGCTTTTGCATATGACGAAGGAACTTTTTCAAAGAGTTCAATCTTCATTCCAACATGATGGAATCAAGAGTAATACCAACGCCGAGGGAGCATGCTCACACTATCTACCCCCATGGCCATACTCGCCGGGTGCCCCATGAGGCAGCTTGCACGTAAGAAAGAAATAAGTGCCTTCAAACCCTTAAGTCGCTCCACAAAAAGTGCCTGACGCAATGGGAATATTCCTCACTACGAGGCACAGTCTCCCTTTTCCCTTCTCCCACGTGCTGTTTACCCTCTGTGTCCTCCGATCTGCAGTATATGTGAGCTTCCAGGGGCCTTGATAGGCTCCTGTGGCAACTCAATATGCCCCTCTGGAGGCGGAAATGTGGATGAAGCTGCAGTGAGCTTTTCTGACTCCCTCTCACGCCGTGCAATGTGCTTACAGACAGTGGCTGTAAAACCATCAACGAAATTCCACTGAAACCTTCGAATATGCCAGTATATCACGCTGGCTTGCTAAGTTAGCAAATCTAACACAGTAATTGGTTTTGTCTTGTGTGCTTAGGCTGACCATCTGGCAACCCGCGTAAGGTTTGCGTCAGGCGAGGTTGCTTCGGAGACTCCTATGAGCATGCACGGTGCACCTACAGAAGTTCCCGGTAGTAATGCATCCAAGCAACCACAAATGCAGTTGGAGGTGCATGAGTCACCCGTTAGGGGCCCAGATCAAGACGCGCAGCCAGCGGCCTCCGGAGCGCAGAGCCCCATACACGTGACCTTTTTATTCTCTCCGGAACAGAGTTCACGAGAGCCTTCTGGCGTGTATGAGGCTTCAGAGCCGCTTGTACAGCCGGCGGCGCAAGCTGTCCAGACAGAGGCTCCAAAAGATAGTGGTCACCAAACTGTACCTCAGCCGGTAGCCTGTCCTATGCCCTGCTGGACCCTCGTGAGTCGACGCTGTCTGTTTCACACTAGGCTGCACACCGAACGCCTGACTGCCCATAGGCAGCAGCGTCTGCGCAGCCTTTGTAGTTTCCTAAAAGCAGGCACACTATGATTATTCCCGCTGGTTTACTAGTGGCTGCTCTGTGGAACCCTCTTTGTTGCAGCGCTGCTGCGAGGGCCCCGTCGAGCCGGAACCCGAAGGGCCCCCTCCCAATCTGGCAGAGCAGGATATCACTCGGGCACCTGATTCAGAGCCAGTACAGATTGGGCCGCCTCTAGAAAGAGGCGCTCAAGGCTGGAACGCCGTGAGCCAGCGCCAGCTGAAAATTCAGGAACTACAGTGCACAGAATGGCTGAAACTGACTGTTTGCTAGCTCGTTCAGCATATATTGTATCCTTGTGCGTTTACTGGCGTGTACGCTGTCCACGTGCCGCTGCGGTGCTTTCGCTGGCTCAGGTCTGTCGTGGGAGCCCAACTGAGCCGGGATATGGAGTTATCTCCCCTCCAATAGAGGCTCCCTCTGTACCGCCTGATGCTTCTGCTGAGACTAAGCAGTTAAGCCCGCGTGCAGCCCCAGGCGAGGCTGCAGTCGTTTGTGGCCCTACTGAGCATTCAAAGCCGAAGGAACAACCACAAGTTGTGTATATAGATCATCATCCAGAACCATTTGTGAAGCTTTACTTTGGAGACGACGGTGCTGAGGAAATCCCGGAAGACTGGAGAGGTTTGTCGATATATTAGCAGGCCCCATAATATCAATGATTTAGGGTTCAAGTTTCAGGTTAAAAGGTGGTGTGCAGATACTGCGTATGCTCAGACTTCGGACTGGCCAGTACCGCAGAAGTGCTCTTTGCAATTGGTATGATCTAGCCTCTTAATCTAAAGACCCTAAAATATTCGTAGCATACCGTGCCTATCCAGTTAACCTGCCCACCCTGCGCATTTGCTAGTATTTTCGAAAGTGATGGCCCATTCTTCTTGCGAGAAAATTGAATCCAAAGGGTCTCCGTGGTGTGGTTTGCCTGTTGTAGGATCTGCTGTTGGGGTGGTGGTCACCGGCGGTGCAGTTGTTGTTGGCACTGCTTTGCTGACTGCCGGACTGACAGTGGGAATCACAGCACAGGAGCTCTACAAGAGGATCACCAACAACTACAACATATAAATAAAAGGGCTTGTATGTACTTCTTTCAGCGTGGGGAGAGAAATACATAGTCTCTCACCCCTCCACACCCTGTTTCAATCCTCTCTCTTCCGTTTCAAACAACACGCTTAGCCTGACGTCAGGTGGTTTTATTGTCGCTTCTCAAGTAGACGAGATAGGATTTCATCGTACTGAACAAATTTCTCACGCATTCATGGAGCCAGAGACCCATCCCTTGCTCCACGCGAACTAGAGCCTTCCGAAAATTGGCTAAAGCACACTACACGCCAAACCAAACGCTGGTCTGTAGCTTAACGCACTGTATGGGAACCATTACCTGACGCGAGACGAAAAGAGCTACTTTAAAGATTGTTTATCCCTGCTGGGCAAATTACTCTGACACGTGTTCCCCTCAGCCGTTAAGTGTGCTACAGCACACGGTCCCCAAATGGGTAAATGCCACCTGAGCTAGTTTATAAGGGGCGTCCGGAGAGTGGCGCTTCAAGGGTCTAAAGAAGCTTCATAGAGAAAGCAGCAACAAGGAACAGATAGCTGCTTCCTCCTGCAGCCTTAAGAGCGTTCATGCAGGTAGGATAAGACTTAAGGGGGCATGAAGGGCCATTGCTATGATTGCTCTGCTGCTTTTACGTTTTCTTTGATGCGCCATGTACGACATTGCTTTCAGCATGTTTCCACGGTCGCTGTTGGCCTTAATTCGTTCAACGCTTTGTGTGTGCCTCCACTAATCTTTTCTGGGGGAATTCACTGGCGGTCCCACGGATATTCCTGTATCGCATCAATGCAAGAGAAAGACATACAGTTGGTCTGACAGCAGTTATGTGCTAAAATTTGAGTGCACAGCTGCACTGCCTCTGGTGGTTCTGCTATACTGCTAACCTATTTAGCGCAACACCTGGGCAGCTTTGAGTGTCTTTGAGCTCTTCTAGCGTTAGGCGAGAATTTCAGTTTTCCTCTTTACCTCCGTGATAGCCGAGCTTCTTGAGAGTTCTGTAAGTGACAGACAAGTGGCCTATATTTACAATGGGATCAAGAACGATTTGTTCTCGGGTGACGAAGTCCCGACCGTCCAAAACGTAAGCTGCACATACACCCCCAGAACGCCTAACATTGCGGTGGAGGAGAAGAGCTGAAAGAAGACACACCTAGTAATTGAGGAAAGCAGAAAACCCTTGGTAGCGGCAGTTTGTGTTTCTCTAGTCTAGTTTGTGTCCTTCCTTTGAACCCACCAGCGTGTTTCAGCTTTCCTTGCAGTTCCCTGGCTGCAGGTAACAGCGCACGCAATCATATCCATTTGAATAATGTGCCGCTACTCGATCTTTAATTTTCAAATGGCAGGCCCTTTAGAAATGTTATAGGCGCTGTAGGTTAAGGCAGATAACAATTAAATGAACTCATCTTATACGCGTTTGTGGATGAATAAGAACGACCAGCATTTTAAGCATGCAAGGATGTGCCACAGGGTGTTGACACTTGCAGCTTACGAATTTCAATGGAGCTGAAATAAGATGCTGCAAACGTACACAAAGACGAAGGCACTGAGAGGAATGTTGCACAGAGGGCCTAAGCTGTGATAGCTTGCTTCTATTATTTTTTCTTCTACCCAACAACGAAACGACTTGAGCAGCCGCAGAAAGCCAGTCACTGAGTATGGTTAAACCACCAGATCTGCATCATCGTTGAAGTAAAACCTCTCTACTCTGACTCACCAGGATGAGTGAAAAGACCGCAGTTAAATTCGCGAGCTGCATCACAGCGCACCGGACCGGAGGCAACAAGAAAAAATGCATTGTCCAAATGACGAGTACTAGATAGTGTTTTCGATGCATCACTAGCTAGATAAGAAAAGCATTCTTGTACATGTGTATTTTAAAGAGAGAGGAGGAGCGTTATATGCCCAGTTGTAGTTCTTACTTTCCGCAAAAAGGTAGTGCAACTTCGGGTCTATGGAAGGTCTGAGCTCTGCAAAAAGCAATAGATACGGCAGAAATGGCACTGAACATCTGTGGTTCAACGAAAATTCAAGCATGCGTAGATCAAAACAATTAGAGGCAATATGCAGACTGGGACAATTGCAGCTGATACAGAAAGACTAGTATCACTATTCTGCAGTGCCAATATATCAGCGTCCCATTCAAGGTTTCTGACTCCACTCGCCACCTTTCAAACTTGCGCTCATTCACTATTTTCGCCATACTCTTAGCTATCGAAGCTCTGGCAGCGATTGGGTTTGATGGAGAAATAAACGCCAATTCGCTCGTTACAATTTCACGCAAGATGTGAGTGCCGGACCATTGCGCGCCTGCAAAACGTTGGAATACGAAGGGGCATGAAGGGAAGAGAGGCTCTGAGAGGCGAGACGGCTAGCAAGCCAAGCAGATCATGTTAGAGCTGTTCCCCGGGTCAATTTCATGCAAATGGAGGAAGCGAGGCGTACCAATTGCGGCCATGGATATCATCGTCTGCCTCTCTTTAGTCTTTTCCTCATCAATAAAAGTATTCATAAAGGGGCATGAGATGTCAAGCTGGGCACCATTTTTTGCAAGTGTTCCTTTTATCGTTTGATTCACTTCACTGATTTTCGCCACCTGCAATGTAGCAAAAAGAGCATTCAAGTACGCTTTGACGCTCTCAGGCGTCTCTTTAACCAAGTCCTTCCTGATTATCTCGGTCAGGTAGCCTGAAGAGAGTGCAAGCGAGCGATGACAGATAAATGCTAAATATTCATCATCGAACTCGCGGAAAGAGTCTTTATGAAGGTCGAATGGAATGTTGATGAACACCTTTCAGTAGTATTGAGACTATACCAGGTGTATTCTCTTAGTAATCAAGCATATACTGCAGCAGGATAAGAGGATTGATTGTGTTATTCCAGTAAGAGCAATGAGATAGACTGACGCTGAATGCCAATGCAGTGAAAGCGAACAGAAGCCTCTGTTTGCATGAAGACGGCCCCAGTCAGCACACGAGCACCCTGAGCAATAATACACAAAATTTGGCTATCCAATACTCCCGGCTGCTACCATGCAGCTATCCTCTTTTATTAGTCTTTCATCATCTTCTTCTTGTGCAGCGGGTCTCCTGAACTGAGTAATGCGTCAAGATTACAATCAAAAATATGCTTTGCCACGGGGACATGAGCACCAGTACTATGTGGAATAAGAATTGAGAGGGGCTGAGTATCTTGCTTCATGGGCTGGCTTGATCTCCACATTACAGCCACGATATGAGTACCATCCTTCATGTGCTGATTGTTTCGAAGCCCTGTGTCAATCTATACCTTGTGGACATTTTTCGTTGCTAGTAATGTGTTCGCCAGGTCCACTGCCATGCGTATAACATCTACTGGGTCTTCTGCTCCTGCTGACAACTCAATAAATAAATCCTCCAAGTGCTGTCGAGTCAGATGCACCTGACCTCTCTTTGACAGAGCTGAAACTGCTCCATTAAGCTGAAGCTCAAAGTTTCCCAAGTAAGACACACGCCCAAAGTCAACAGATCCTGAAAAGGGCAATATTGCACATGGTTCAACTGGTGTAATCAAGTTCTCTACTTGAGGCTCACTATCACATATGAGTGCTCTGAGCAGGAAGCGAGCCTTATTTTCTTGATATCACTACTCAATCAGGGGTTTTATGTTTTAGAGAGAAACACTGCACGCACTGACGCCGAGTAGCTTGTCGGCCACCTCCATTACTAGATCAACAGCGTATCCAATGTGGCCTTTTTCTGTAAGAAAAATTCAGACAGAGCAATGGACCTCAGGTAAGGCCACACATATGGATTTATGTGTGCTTCAATGTGTTCGGGTGTCAGGCTTTGCTAAGAAAGAAGCAAACAGCATGTTCCGCCTCACCGTGTAGTAGGGCCGCCAGGAGGAACGTTTTCCTGGCAGCAGATATTTGTCTATTATTAAACGAAAATTCTTGTGCGTGCCTTTGTGACCAGAGGGCAAGCATTCCTCCCGTCATAAGCTTGAGGGAAAATGGTGCGACCACGTTCGGCGCGAGAAACGTCTTCCTAAACTCAGTCGCTAGGCTGTAAATTACCTCTAGAGCCCCCCGGTAGGACCCGAGACTGACGACCCATGCGTGCTGCATGAGTCTTTCAAGGTCTGGCCACGTTGAGGGCTTTCGAGCTATGCGATGCTTCTTTCCCATCAGACGCTTCACCAAAGCGACACCAACATGAACTGCTGATGCCCCTATGCGCTTGAAGATTCCCACCTTGTTGTTATATTCTTCTATAATCGAGTGCAAAACGCCCGCTAAACAGCACACAAATCGTTTTAATCGAAATGGAACACTTTATTTGTCAAAGCAAAACCGGGCGAGTTCGTGGGTAATTCCTACAGGTTTCCTCAACTCTCTCATGTGCCCATTGAATTGGTATGCATCTCAGGCGTATTCTCTGTAGATAGATTAGCTGCTACAATATGGATAATAGAAAGGAGCTGAGGGCATTGTTTTAGTATTCCACCAAGTAATACTCCTAATTGTGTATTATTCCCATGAAGGGCTGGGATTTGCCGCACCTGCTTGCATACAGGCTGACGTTAGCGGCGCATAGATATTGGGGAGGCCCCACATTGGATTTGACTGTAGCAATGCCAGAAGAACAGATCCAAGTTCATCTCCACCTCTTCTCCAGCTCTCTACTTCATTCGCGAAGGCCTGGCTGCCTGCATGCAACTCTCTTGCCCGAGTCCATAACGTCTGGCAGAGGAGGTACGCATTGGGAGTTGCCTTGTCGCTCTGGCGGCCTGTACCAACATACTGCACGGATGCCTCATACGTCTGGAGAGCTCTCAAGGCTAGTAGGCCTCTGCCTAGGTGGTTCGTTTCCTTGACGAAAGCGTCAAGTGTCCATGGCTCTTGGGGATTTCCCTTCTTTGGCAAATGTAAAAGTGACCAAGGACCTTGCTTACTGCCTCTAGCCTTCTGAAAAAGCACAGCCACTTAGTCCAGTTGAGGCGTTTGTTGAAGACTAAATGCAACCTTGTTGCACGCAGGGTCAAACGCCGAATGTACCCCACGAGTCTGAGGTCTGCAGGGTGTATGTATACTCAGCCCTTGCCGCATACCGGAAGGCTGGCAAGAAGTTGCAGATCCTCTGGTACATCGAATCGTGGATCATCGGGATCAACAGTCGATGACGTAAGCTGGGCTTCTTGTCTGCATATGACACTATTCCCCGCTGCTTTGCAAGCATCAGAGGACTGCAAAGCCACAACAGCTAGCAACCTCTCGAGCGATGCCTCCGCCAATTGGAGTAGCCGCTGGTGATGCAAACTGAAGAGGCGGGTCACTGCGAGACAAAACAGAGAATGGCCAACAGGAAGCAACGGAGAGCTCGGCAAAGCGCGAAAGTATGTGTACCTAGGAGTCACATCCAGTGTGATCGCAAAGGGCGGGCTGTAGTTGTTTGCGATGTTGTCAACACCACATAAACGAAGGCAAATTCCAGACCCCTTGCTTTAATTATGCTAGCTATTCGTATGCGTTGGTTGACAAAACCTGCATCAGGAAAAATCTGAGGATTACCGTCTACTAAGCGCGTGCCTCTAGTACTCTCGGGTCGATGTTGTATCATTTTGGAGAAAAGAGTATGGCACTGCTTGCCGCAGAAATTCATAAGGCCAAATGTGTCTTTTGAATTGCGCTTCAGGGGCAGCACACCTAAAACGAAAGGCAAGGTGAAGGGGGATGCAGAGTGGAAATAGCGTAAATTTGTCATTGCGTCACTGAACGCGGTTGGGTTATACTTAGGTAATAAAGCTCAAATGGTTTTCGCCTTACACACGAACTAATTAAGGGCAAGGTTGGGATGTACTAACCACGAAGAGCTTGCGCTGCGACTCCTTTAAGGATCCATACAGCGCTCACGATTGGAGAAGATGAGACCCAAATCCTCTCTGATGCACATGAATCGTATTCATACAGTAAAGGCGCACGAAAGTGCATGTATTGTGCCTTTATTCACTCCAGCAGATCAGGGTGAAAAGCGGTACGGGGAGAGTTTTGTGTACTAACAGTATATGTGCTGTCACTAACGTTTACTGATCCATTCCTCCACCATTTTCTGGACGCTAGGCTTTTCAATCCATGCCTTCAATTCGGTGTGGTACCGCGGTGTTGGCTCATTGCCTGCATGAACAAAAATGGTAAATCCCCGAAAACCGGTCTTATGGCTCCGGCCAATCTATCGGCAATCGTCAAAAGCAACTACTGGGGTGGCTGAGACGTGCCTGGGGGCTTGAGCAGAGAGTAAATGGAAGGCAGCAGGCGACAGCTTATTAGGGAGACCACTTATGCTTGGTCCTTCTACCAGATTTGGGTCGGAAGGCATTGGAGCTTTCCAAGTGTTTTGAGATGAATAGTTGTGCCACTGAAGGACAAGCCATCCATTGCATTGCACCGAAATAATCCAGGAGCTGACCATCCATTTGCATTTTTTGCTTAAGCGTGTCCACTGCATTGACACACAGGAGTAATGGGCCACAATAGCCTTGCTTGCAGTGGTATCGCTGTAAAATTAGCTGCATCAAAAGTGCGGGGGACGGACCTATGGCCAACTGACAGCCTAACTGGTAATTTAACTTACACAATTTGAGACGTTGCTCTGCCACTCGATCCCTATCTTCAGGCGATAGGCGAAATCCTGCACGCGAAAACGCCATAAAAACAGGATGGATTCTCAGGAAATAATAGCACTCCTTTGATGTGTGCTCACACGCCTTAAGGAAGGGGTGGGCAGTGGCACACATTGCCCTTCGCACCGTTATCTTCTACTTTAGGTGATTGCCAAGGCAGCGGGCCACAGACATGTGTGTATACGGTCTCTCCCGGCAGCGCAAACAGGAGTTTGTCTCTTTCCTCTTTCAACTCCCACAGCTCGCGTACTGAGAAACACAGAACCAAGCCAGTGCACTGGGTACGGATTTCAGCGGTTAAGCTTGCTACAGGGAAGTCCTGCAGCAGAAAGCGCTTAACGGGACAAAAGTCGTGTAATGGACTTGCACACTGTCTGGCTGCCTTTCTAACGCACATCGCACTACCACACTTTTTGCTCCAATCAGGCAAGAGGTGCTACACCAGCGTTTTTTGCGTATACATGTCGCACTTTGGGGAGTGGAAACGCGTTCTAGCACGTCCTGTGTGATAAACGTCTCCTTGACGCGGAAAAGAAGCCAGTTTGGAGCTTGATTCACGAGCGAGTCCAATGTCATCGACTCTTCGCTCTTCCGCAGTGCCGTGATGTTTTCTTGGACTGCAGCAAAGTACTAGCCATTGCTATTGCACTTAAATTCAACGACTTTAGCAGCCAGCAAGGTGCCAGTGTAATTGCTAACAAGCGTGCACAAAGGTGGTGTAGGGTGAGAGACAAACGTGCGTACTCACCCGTCCCCTCAGAAGCAAAGAATGACTCTGCATAAGCAAAACACACGACTGAACAGTGATGATAATCCAGGGATAGCTATAAGCCGTTCACATACTTCAATCAAGGCAGAAACTGTAGAGCGAGAGAAGGCAATACGTACCTATGACACTTGTTGAGAGAAAGGGATATGCGTCCACCAGATTATTGCTGTCTGTTCAAGCGAACGCAACCAGGTAAGCAGGCAAAACTGTTAGCCAGTGCTTATTCTCGAAAAGGGCGTGTGTGTATATGTGTAGGTCAGGCAGCCTCTACAAGTGCTCCTAAGAAGTCGTTCGCGTAACAGCATAAACAGGCACCCAAAAGCGATCACCAGCGTACCATCTCTGAGAATGCCCGTAGCAACGCCTATGTCCGGTGAGGTTGAAACGGATAGAATGAGGGGGATCGCATTTCCTGGGACAAAAAGCAATCAGACCCATCGTTTTTGCGCCCTCAAATCCCGAATTGTCTGCCCGTTCGAGGTTGAAAAGAACAATTATCTGGTCGGGCTTGCATGCACATACCGATGGAAGCACTTCTCCCAGACGGAGCGCTGGCCGCATAGCCAGGACCTTCCACTTGCGCATGCGCAAGTGTGGCATGGATGAGGCAGGATACCTTGCATACGACGGACAACAGGACTCCTGCGGAGATCATGTAAAGAGGCAGGTTATATGGCCAGCTCAGTACCTAGGAGAAAGAGCAATACCTCACAACGAACCCGGAGAAAAGGACGTTTTGAGGGATTACGCTGACACAGAAAGAGCACGAATAGATGTATTGGGAATGGCTATATCAGATCCTTGGGCTTTCTTTTTCAGTGTTCCTACCACCCTTACAGCAGGCGTGTCCCGAGGCCTGCTGGAAGGCTGAGTGTAGAGATGTACCCCGAAGTACGGCCTCTTGCTAGGTCAATCTTTATGCCTTCACTTACTGGCGCCGCAGCTGTAAAAATATGTTTTGGTCCTCCATTTATGGGGTTCTGTGTCCATAAAGTTTCCGTTGACCATGCTAAAGGACCTAGTAAACTTTTGGGCGAAAGCTAGCCCTCGAGAGAGAGAAAGTGCCGATATTCCGTCCAAAATTCACTTGGAAGAGGTCTAAGAGAAGAGATTCTAGCCAGAAGTTACAGGCGCGTGCATATGGAGGGCGAGCGTGAAATAACAGCGCGAGGTGATAGAGCTGCTCAGTGATACATAACAAGCTGCACACACAAAACTATCGATAGCATATAAAATCATGGCCATCAAAATAAGATCAATTTGGTGGTTCATGGGGGTACTGTGCTTCATTTCTTCATAGCACGACGCTAAAAGTGTCTTCGGGCCCGGGTAAGGGGTACACAGCAGACTAGTGACCGTCAGCCAAGAGGCAGCGCCCCCTTATCGAATGAAGTCTATGGAAATTGGAACTAGAAATTCACCTCTGACTTTTTATTTAAAATGCTTATTTTGTATAGGTGCCTGTATCAGTAAATTACTCCATTAGTCCCAAAGGATCGACGTGTGCAAATTGCGCCATGGCCGTTATTGACCAGGAACACGCGACTCCAAGCCTCCGCTTCATGCATAATTGAAGCTGTTAAATGGACGATTGATCTGAATTTGAGAGTACTGATCATGGTATTGCAGGCTTCCGCCCAGATCTGCGCTGCTTACAGATGCTAACACGTATTCCTCTTGATGCGCGCAGCAAAAGGCTTTTAATAATTTAAAGGGGCTCGTATATGTAAATAAGCTCGATAGTCAGGCCTTCCTTTACTTGGGAAAAGCATTGGTCAATGAAGACTTGTACAGTAAATGTCTTCAAGTTCCAAAAGGTTCACGCATCGACGTCACCTTGGAGCAAGGGACACAAGATCTGCAAGCATACGCGAGCAAATGTTTTGATCCACATCCAGCGGTCCTGCCTACAAATATGTCAAGCATAAAATAAACAAGTTAGCTCGTGCTACGCTGTGAATGGATTATGAACGGAAAATAATCCGAGAATGACTAGGAAAATGTAGCTCGCCAACGGTAAATGCAGATCCCTTTGTCCGCCTGCTCGTCTTTGAACCACGTAAAGACATTTACCCACACACTGGTATATGGCATAATATTAAGGGGGCATTGTATGTTTTAACATCACTGATTGATTTTAGGACTCTGATGCTCCATCGAAGGCTTCTGTAGAGAGACTGGAGCGAGCTTAGCTACACTTCGGCACTTTCTACGTTATTATTTCAATGTAAGAGTCAAAAAAAAATTGAATTAGTTTGTCTGTTGGCATGCCTTATATTCCAAGGAGGTATGTGAGCACGATGAAAGAAGGCCCAATGTTGTGTGTGTGTGAGCGCAAGATGCTGTGTGCAATTAGCTGGAAGTACTTGGAGTGATCAGAGGATAACGCTCTCGAGATCTAGAGTTGATCGGCCCGTGACCCTCCATCTATGGTCTCCACAGGAAGGCAAAATCAGACTCAGTAGAAGTCTTTCAGACAGCTCTTTAGTGATTTTCTAAAAAGAATCCCATCCGATTCATGCAGTCAACATTTTACTTATTTGTAATTCGATATGACTAGTGCACTAGAAATTGCCTTGGTGTAGGCTAGCCCAGCACATGTATGCTCCTATTATTAAGCATGCAACGTTTCCTCAAAAATCCGAAGCTGTATATGCATCAGGCGCCCGTGGATATACCGTACGGTGATGGCATACCACCACCAGCCAAGTTGAAAAGCCGTAGATCACTTCCCGCACTGCATACCAAACGCTACGATCGGCCAGAGCTCTGTGTACCCCGGCTCCTAGCCCAGATTGTGCCAGTCGCCCACCCGTGAAGCAATGTCTTTCGTTACCCTCCTTTTCTGGAGTTAGCCACTGCTGTAGCGCGTCAGCAAGCATAACTGCAATAAAAGAAGCATCATAGCATTTTGGCCTTATGTGCGAAAAGACCCTCATCGTCGTGCAATAAGGGATACTACAGTTACACCCGTTTAATGAGATTGGGGAGACTGCTAAGAGCCCTGGGGGAGTCATTTTGTGAGACTCACTGGGACGGGATCGGCTCTCTCTGTTTTGTTTTGGCAGTACGAACATTCGGCCCTGAAACTGCAGAAGCACAGCCTCGGCTTACACTCGGTTGTGCATACATATACAGATGAAGAAAAACAAGGGGGACTCTGCTCGGTGCTGCCTCAGTCCATTTGCACCTGCGCGGAGCGGGTCCTCGATGAGACATTTCTGAGCTGGTCGCGTTTTATCTAGAGTGGCACAAACGGGAGGCGTGCATCGCTTCTCATCCTGTGACTCTCTTCCGCGTCCCTCAGCTGATGCGGAGATGGCTCTGGCTTTCTAGCCAGGTGGTTCCGAGGAGTTGCCCCCGTACCTTGAAACGGAGACTGGAGGGGGCCTGGAGGCCTTCTTTTCCAACGCCTTTGTGGGTGGGAGTGCTCTTAGAGCGTTGAGACTCTCCAGCTTGCGCTCCTGCCAATCTGGATGAAGGAAAACGTTAAGGTGACTCTCCCTCCTGTCTTGAGAAACATTTTTCATATCCTTCTGCCCCGGTGACTTCGTCTCAGTCTTCAAAGACTCGACACATATCACGCTTCTTTGCGTGCCTATCTTACTGAGCGAGTACTTTTGTCTATCGGACCTCTTTGACAGCGCATTCTGTACACCTAGCCCCGCTATGGCGGGCATATACTGCTCCTTTTGAGAAGGCGAAGAGGTCCATCCGATCCTGCTGGCCCTCGGGAGGAGAACGTCGCTGCCCGCGAGTGTGGATCGCATCCTTGAATCTAGACCCTCCCGCATTATTTGGCGAAGACGTTTGCGTACGTCGAAATCATCATACTCGTGTTTTCCGCTACGCCCTATTTCGTCTTCTAAACTGCTTGGCAAACGAGAGTCCCTCTCACGGTCGCCAAAATCCGAATTACTATCTGACGAACTCCGGCTCAAGTCACTGCTCGAGCGCTGGCTGCTACTATCGCTGCTGTGACTGCTCCTCTTGGGAGAGGAAGAGGAACTGCTTGCCAGCTGCAGCACAATTTCCGGAAGCCTTTCTGATTGATTATTCCGTGGGGATCCGCTATCGGAGATGTCCTGCAAAAACTCTGTAGAGGCTCTCGGCTTCTCAGAGGCTTCTTGGTTAGCTGCCTTTTCCTTTGCCTTGTGTGAAGGCCCTTCTGCTCTTTTAGGATCCTCAGCAGACAAATGCCTTGATAAGAGGTTCTTGGAACCCGCCTTGAATAGAACAACAGGTGCGGGTGGTTTGTTCTCCTCTATAATAGGTATAAATTGTTCGTACAGATCTCGCCTCTGCTGTACTTCAGTAATATCGTCCTGGCTCCCTCGCGGTCCTAACGAGGCAGACAGCTCTACGGTACGCGAGAGGGCTTCGCTGGTCTTCTCTGTAAAGGGAACAAGACCGTTAGATCGTCGCCGGTTCCTCGCGCTTTCGGCCCTTCTCCTCTTCATCTGAAGAACCGACGAGAAAAGCACACCAAGACGGTGTTGGCGCCACGCATGCTGTATCAGTCGTGCGGCGGCTTGACGGTGTAGGAGCTCCAAGTGAGCCTCATGCTGCAACATCCACTCGTCTTTCTGCTTTTCTTCTGATCTACAGGGAATCGGCCTCATGGCTCTCTCTGTGGTGGATTTAGAAGCTGCCGTAGATGCCCCCACAAGACGTACGCTGGCGTGGGGGGATTGCGGGGAGAGAGGGCTCCCAGCCTTCGCAACCGGCTGCCCTGTCTGCTTTTCCCAAGTAGGGGTTCTAAACGCTCTCTGGTGACCTTGGCTTCCAGCTATCTCATCGACTAACCCACCGCTTTGTGGATCCTCCTTTGAAGCGCATGATGACTTAGGTATCACTTGTAACCCCGAGGCGCCCGGCCTAGGCACTGACCTGGATGCGTCGGGATATAATTCTGAGGAAGCTCCGTCCACAGAAAGCGGCATGGCGCGCATCTGCGAACGCGGAGCACCCTTTATGTTCAACTCCGTTTCGCGACGTAAATGCACCGTTTTATTGTCCACCACACTCACAGACCTTTCGACTAAATTCGACGCCAGCCGGTGGCTGCTTTCAGGGGCCTTTTTGCATTCCACGATCTCACACTTCGGTGTTTGCAACACCGGAGCCAACGAACCGCAGCCCAGTGCATCCTCCCCATTTCTCGATACACGGGCACGACTGACTACATTTAGATCTACTCCTCCTGGGGGTGTCGTCTGTGGAGAGCCAGGTGCGTCTTGCTTCTGCGGAGAACGCTGCTCAGTAGGACTGCCCCTGCTCCTCGACACAGACGCTGACCGCCTCTCCTGCAACCTCCTCTCCCGCATTTCCTTTCCACGTCCTCTCATGGCAACTGCCAGTTCGGCTTGGTGTTTGCGAAGCTGAGCAGTGCATTGCTTGGAGGCAGAAGCAAACTGCGACTGCGGAAGACTATCGGTCTTGTTTTCGCCTTCCTTCAACTCTGCTTTCATTGTTCGTTCCTCCTCGCCCCTCGCGTTTGTGGCGTCGCCGCTCCTCCGCTTTTGGTAAAGCGCAGCGTCTTCGTTCCCCTCCAACCTAGCCACATTCTCTTTGCCGTTACCCCCCGCCTCCTTGAGCAGTTCACGACTGACTGCATTTAGATCTACTCCTCCTGGGGGTGTCGTCTGTGGAGAGCCAGGTGCGTCTTGCTTCTGCGGAGAACGCTGCTCAGTAGGACTACCCCTGCTCCTCGACACAGACGCTGACCGCCTCTCCTGCAACCTCCTCTCCCGCATTTCCTTTCCACGTCCTCTCATGGCAACTGCCAGTTCGGCTTGGTGTTTGCGAAGCTGAGCAGTGCATTGCT